TGGTTGTGTAGTAGGTGCGTGGATTGCGGGTTCGTCGTGGTGGCCGGCGTAGCGTCTACCGCAGTCTGTGTCTGCTATTGAAAGGAATCTCGATATCGCTATAAAGAGGATATCTAGAACTATTCTTATTAAAAGTGAACTGTTCAGTATTACTACATTGCAGTATGAGCACTAAAGCTTAATAGCAAACTGATTAATGTTGCTTTCTCAAAATATGGAATCACAATCTTACAACATAAAAAGCACACTACTAGTTATTCCACTGACTCTAATACTGTGTCCTTGATCTATGTGAATGAACAGCAGTATTTTAGAGGAATACAACAGTTTTGAAACACACACCACACACCCTCGTCTTACCACTCCCCCATAATTGTCGTATAAGTCTCCACTCCATGGTTGTTCTGAGTAGGCAGCAGTTGGTGAGGCAGCTGACTCAGGATGCTGCGATGATCGAGCGTGTTTTTGGTGTGGGTGCTTGGCAGGTAACAGCTGCAACACAAACACAAACACTCACACGCTCAAGCTCGTTTGGTGAGTGCAGGGTCGTAGTGATCGGTCGCAACACTACGCTGAGCGTCTGCTCAAGTAAAGATCCTTTGTTGCTCCGTTCGAGCGTGGACGGCACTGCAAGAAACATAATCCAAATGTCAGCCTGGATATATTTCTGTGTGTAGAATGCTCATCATGCTCGAATACCTCGCAGGTTGAGCTAACACTGGTTCCAGATAGTCCACTTCTGAGATCTATCACACAATACACACATCAGGTTTTGCCTATTTACATGACACTGAACGACGATGCACCACAGCTGCTAAAACATCTGGGATCTCTACTAAGATTCTGCTTTTTGGTGATCTGAAGATCCTAGCATTCACTAATTGTTCACAAGACAGACTTCTTCATACAGTGACAGGTGATGCCCTTCACCTCCTGAGGCAGCGTCATCATTCAGTTTTGAAATTTCACTCGGGTCTAGGTAGAGGAAGAAGTAACATTGAAAGACTGAGTCTAGAGCTGCTGTTTATTACACAAAGAAAAAGCTCTGTAAGCTTTTACATATAGATAGAGCTTTTTACAAGATGTCAAAAGATGTGTGATCGCTTTTCCACTATGATCCTATGTATTCAAAGATTATACTCCGTCTCCTCTGGTCATATGGCGTGGATATTTGCAAGAGACTATCCTCCTATGTCCTCTTACTTGTTTTCCACATCATGTTTCATGGCACAGTAACAACAAGCTCCGTATGGACATATATGAATACTAGAAATCTCTTCGCATCATTGGATCAGTTCTATTGCTCAAGGATCAATCGACGCGCTGCACGAATATCTTCCCACCAGTGTAAGTCTGAGCTAATTCCGTCACCATCAGGTCACACCTTATCACCAGTGCCCCTCCACCCGCACCTCTCCTATCCTACAGACTCAGACAGCCTTCCCTGTACAGTCACAGGTTTATACATATGCGGAACACTATCAAGGCTTATCATCGCACCAATATGATCACATCGAATGGTGTAGTGGAGAAGGCGTTCGCGTATAGCTTACGTCACAATAATCCAGGATCCAGCTAAGCACACCTGTGGCCACAATCGCCGTACGTCATCCATGTTGGGCACAATCAACTATGCCCCACAAAAAGGTGTCTTTCCTTCCAGTTACTATCTTCAAAAGCACCTTCAATAACCCAATGACATCTCCAAACTACACCTTATTAACCATCACATAATGAAAATCCATGGCAAATCAACCAGTTTCAAGCACTGACGACTGCGCCGTTTGATTGCGTGTCAAAATATATCTAACAGTCTGCAGACGATTACTTTTTTACTTATTTCCACTTCCCCTAAGAAATATCAACTACTACGAATATATTAGAATTTTACCACTTATAGCAAATACAATACTACTCCCATATTTACCAATACTATAATACCCATATCTGAATATTTAGACCCATTGCTTTATATAATCCCACTACATCTATCATACGCGAGTCTTTATTTCCTGCGATCAACCTCTCTTTCTCTCATATTACACTGACATATATATTATCGGGTCATCTACGTACCCACAGTGTATAGATGCCTTCTGGCCAGCCTCATTAGGACATCTCTAAGATCCCCAATGAATTATCTAATGACCAGTGTGCGAGAAGTTAAAAACTAAACAGGACGCTTGACAATTACTGCAGTGATTGTTACTAAAGTCAAACTGCACTGCACTGTATATCTAACCACACCAGTTTCACTAAATCATGTTGATAATATGCTTTCTATACATCTTCCTATCTCCAATCTTGCTTCTCTGTGTCTCCCTGAATCTCCTACCCACCCAACACTTATGCAGCATACGTTGTCTTGTCTGCACACAAACGCGCTATAGTGTTCTTCATACCAATTTTTAGAACTGCCAGTTACATCAACTGTTCTATGGAGAATCAGTGGAAACTGGAGCGCCTCTATGTACATGTGAGTGAAGTATTTGATTAGAAGGCTGGGAACCATAAGTGGAACACACATGCTGATTATCACTCTGCAGTGAAAAGCAATCTGAATAGTTATCATAGCAACTTATTTACTACTTGTTTTGCTGCAATACACCTCGTCAGTTTTCAGCTTCACTTTAATCTAATCAACATGGCCCCTACTGACACGCGAGCATATGATTACTCTCCTACTGTCCCAAAGTGTTGAGCTTTTAGCAGAGATTGGAGCAGTCGGGCTAAACCCAAACTGCTTATGGGTGAGGTGAGTGTTGTGATGACAGGTGCAGGGTCTTTACTGGCTGCCTCCTTCATCAAGGATCTTTGGGGCTGCTTCCGCTCCTTTAACGAAACTTCCCAGTGCAATGCGTACTCAAACTCTCCAACACACTGAAAACTAATATAGCAACACAATACCCAAGCCACAAAAATCTAGAGAACAATTCTCATGCGGGAATAACCTGCATGTAATCCAGTGTGTGAGTGTGTTCACATTCATATACACTACACACATATATATCATCAATATCAAACTAGTACTTCAAAACATAGCTACCCGGCCCCTGCAGTCAAAGGTTAGGATCGTCATTTTATCATTCGGGCCTTTCACAAAATTTTATTACAAAAACAAATACATGGTTAAACGTGGCCATGAATAACAATTCAGACGAGCTCGCCACTTTTTTATTGTTGGTATCTCAGGGGGTAAAAAACAGTGTGAATACTTTAATGACTAAACTGTATCGCGAACTGGGAAACGTCTCCATTTTTTATCTTCCAGATTACTCTGGTCACACTTGACATATAGCTTATCATGATTAAAATGATGTTACTCCCATCAAAAGTACTAATTTTCCTTTTATTTCATTTTTTAATAGACTAATTTTCTAATGTACTTCTTATCCTCCAAGGATAATACGCGTTTTGTCATTCTTCCAAGCGTATAGTGTATTTATACATTTGTCCAACCTCGATAACCACTGTAACTGACAACAGTGTGGACATTTCTCCACGCACATTTCTTGTGCTGCAGGTGAACAGTGGTTGGTGATGCTGTATATTAGGTAGGTTTCATAAAAGCACGGTCGTTGTTGTCAAGCTGTCATGCTAGATCCCGTGCTCTGACATCAGTCACGTTTTACTGGAGGTCAGCAGTTCATTCACAGAGAAATGCGAGCTGATTAGATCTTAAATCTGGATCTGATCTGATCTCTTCCGGATCCTCCCGGAAAGTGAATTACTCTGCATGGGTGTCGACCTGTCCTAGTGACAAAGCCACAGGTGTTTCTACGTCGTCAGACAAAACCACTTAGCTGCACTCCTGATCCCAACATCAAGGCGTATCACCAGAACTCAGCACCGCGACAACACTTTTAAAACTCACCAACTAGCACTATCCACCCGGCCCAATACTTTTCACTTCTTCTTCTTTTCTTCCTTCTCCTCTTTCTCAGTGTGACTGGCGCTCCGTTGGCAAATTCCGAGCTTCTCAGATGCCGACCTAGCGCCACCTGTACCGAGCAACTGGCATTGTGCCGACAAACCCCCAAAATTTGTTCATCAACCCTGTGTTTCTGTATGAATACGTTCCATTAGGATGAATGAATATTCCCTTATGATGACCCTCTATCGAAAGATCCATCCTCCACACGTGAGTGTTAGTCTTAGCCTCTTCTCTAGCGTTTTCCTTCGTTCTTCACTGTTAGCTCGTTGTTCTCTTCTTGTTTAGCCGCCGCAGACTGGAGGCTGCCCCCCTATTGCACTATGGCCAGTTAGATTGCCAGTTTCTTGTGATTTTTTTCCTTTCTCTCATTCCTTATAATTTCACAAATTTACCCATTAATCAACAAGATCAAATTGGTGACCACAACAGTCACGCTCAGTCCCAATCCTATAAAGACCACAAATAACACTTGATGCACTTAGAGAATAATACTGTTTTTATTGAATCTGTGTTCAGTTCAAATTAAGATATAATAGTTATTTTAGTGATAAACTCTCCTCTGTGTATTGTCTATGTATTTTCTGTTACAGACTCCTTAACTCATCATAAAAACATGTATTATTATCTAGTCATCAAGTGTTATTTGTGGTCTTTATAGGTTTTTGAACTGAGCTGCTGTTGTGGTCACTTGTCTTATTGATTATGTGAAATTTGTGAAATAAAGAAATGAGGAAAAAAAAAATCACAAACTGCAATCTAACTCCGACCTGAGGGGGGCAGCATCCAGTCTGCCGGAGCTAAACAAGAAGAAGAACAACGAGCTAACAGTGAAGAAGAAGGAAACGCTAAAGAATGCTAAGCTAACACTCACTGTTGGGAACCTATTCGTAGAGGCATCAAAGGGAATATTCATTCATCTAATGACGTATCTCAAAAACACAGGGTTGATAACAAATTTTGGGGGTTTATTTTCCACACTGCAGTCCGGTAGGTGGCGCTAACGCATCTGAAAGCTGGTTGCCAACCGACAATCAAATCAAAATAAGGAGAAGAAGAAGAAGAAGAAGGAAGGAAAAGCTATTGTCCAAGTCGTTTTCCGGGTGTATGCTTGTTGGTGACTGTTTTAAAGTGTTGTCGCGGTGCTGAGCGGGACGCTGAGGTTCAGGATGCTGCTGGTTTTGTCTGACGACCATAAAGAACACCTGGCTTTCCTGCCGACGGTCGACACCGCAGGTAAATCACTCCGGATCCGGATCAGATCAGATCAGATCAGATTAGATCAGATCAGCTGCTTCTCCTGTGATGAACTGCTGACCGTCAGAAACGTGACTGATGCAGAGCACGGGATCAGCTGCACTGACAACAACGACCTGCTTTTAGAAAACACCTAATATCAGCATCACACACTGTTCACCTGCACCACAATAATGTGCGTGTAATGTCCACACTGTGTCAGTTACAGTGTTATCATGTATAATACACTATAGCTGGAGAAAACTAAAAACAAACAAACCTCCATTACAAGTAAAAGTACATTAGAAAAGTCTATTAAAAAGAAATAAAAGGAAAATTACTTTTGATGTGGAGTACAACATTTATCATGTAGCTATATGTCAAGGTGACCAGATATCTGAAATAAAAACTGGAGACGTTTCCAGTTCGCGGTCAGTTTATCATTAAAGTATTCAATGTTTTTACCTGAGATAAAAAAAAGGGCGACTGTCATGTATTCTGGCCACGGTAACTGTTGTTTTGTAATAAACTTTTGTGAACGCCGAATGATAAAATGACGACTCCCTACCTTTGACGCAGCCGTGAAGCTTGTTTGAAGTATGTTTGATATTGATATATATATATGATGTTTGAAAAATAAATATGAGAATGGTTTCCTCAGAGAATGACTTAGATTTTTTGTTTGTTTGTTTGTTTTCAGTGGTTGGAGAGTTTGGTCGCATTGCACTGGAGTTTCTAAGGAGAGGAAGCAGCCCCAAGATCTATGAGGGAGCAGCCAGTAAGACCCTGCACCTGTCATCACACACTCCTCACCAAGCAGCCGACTGCTCCACTCTGCTAAAAGCTCAACGCTTTGGGCAGTAGAGACATTTCCAGCTCAGGGGCCATGTGTAGATTAATGACTAGAACTAGGTGTACGCACAAAACAGGAAATATTCATACACATTCTTTTCATCAGAGTGATAAAGCTGTGTGTTCACATGGTTCAGCTTCATAAATCTCACTCACATGTTCACGAGCCTCATTTCCACTCCCACAATTAACCTCAAATGGATGAAGACACTCCCTTAATCAATCAATTTGTATAAAGTTTGTGCCACAAGTGATCAGACACAGAGAAGCAAGATGAGGAAGAAGAACAATTTCACTGATTGTGAAACTGAGGTTAAAACATGCATCAGTTTACTTTAGTACAATCACTCTAATGTAACGTCCTGTTTTACTCTGAATGTCATTCATTGGGACTAGAGAGTCCTAATGAGGCTCCAGAGGATCTAACACTGTGACTAGTCAATATTAAAATAGTATGAAACAGTTACAGAATAACTCAGTAAATAATAAGGATATTAAACAATGCTAAATTAATATGGTAATATATATGGTAAATGGTATGGTATAATATATGGTAAATTCTATATCGTGTTGATTTTTGAAGTGAAAAGTAAAAAGTAACTCTGCACTGTTAGACCACCATCACCAGTCTGAACTGTTGGATCCATGGATTCATGTGAAGGTTAATACGGGTGGTTTGAGATCATTGTTATTAGTGCTAAACAGAACTGAAACCTTTTTGGTATTTTTCCACATCAAACAGCTTTGACACATGTGCTACTTCCTGATACTCCCCGCCTACCTGTACTACCATTATTGATCCATAATGCACCTGTGCTTACAGGGAAGCTGTCTGTTCCTGTGGATATGGTGCAGCACGGAGTGGAGGGCCTGATGTTCCTGATGACGGAGAGCTCCAAACACATGGTGACTCACGCACACGCTGACACTCTGAAGTCCAAGATCGAAGAGATCTGTTTCATTTTCCACACTGAACACTTTCTCCAGAAACATGATGTGAAACAAGTAGGAAGAAGGAGAAAGCTTTGAAGTTTGATAACCGCCACTGAGATATACTTTATACAAGGACAATGAAAAGCATCACATTCCTTTTACATCTTGTCAAAAACTCTTCTGTGAAGCTTCAGGCAGCTTTTCTTTATGTTAAAAAGAAATGTAATGTTTTTCATGTCTTTTTTCTTACTGAACCGTGAATTCAAAACTGAATGATGAGCTGCCTCAGGAGGAGCAGCACCTGTCCACTGATAAAGTCTGTCTGTAACATTTAGTGATGTGTGTCATCACAGATCACCAACACAGCAAAAACTAGTGAGCCAGATGTTTTAGCAGCTGTGGTGAACATCAGCTGTTCCCAGTGTCACTGTTCTCCCTGTGTGTGTTTGTGTGTAGATCTCAGAAGTGGACTTCCTGGACTCAGTGTTAGCTCTGGGGTTCGGTGATGAGCTTAACCAGATGCTCTTACAGGTGACTTTGGATTTGTTTTATTCGTGTGAGGAGATGGTTTTGAGCAGAGCTTGTGTGTTGGACGGTTCGCTGCACTCCAGCTTGAGCGTGTGAGTGTTTGTGTTTGTGTTGCAGCTGTACCTGCAGCACCACAGTCAGATCCGCAGCATCCTGAGTCAGCTGCCCTCCAACCTGCCTGCCTACCAGAACCTGGAGTGGAGACTGGATGTACAGGTGTGTGTGTGTTCACGTGTTCCTCTTAAATCTGCTCTTCACATAGATCATGTTGTAGATACAGTGGATACTGTATGTGCTTTTTATGTGTAATTGTGATTAATTTTGAAAAAGCAACATTTATATTTCTAACCTGTGCTCATACAGTTTGTATTTTAACAGTTCACTTTATAAATATTCTGATTTTAACTTCTTCTTTTTTTCTCGCTCCTTCATGCCAGCTGGCGAGTCGCTCGGCCCGTCAGCAGGTCATTCCCGCGCTGACGATGCGTCTGCTCCTAACGAGAGGCAGCGACAGCCGCAGTGACCACAGCATCAGGGTCCTCCAGGCAGACCCCAGCACCCTCCTGCACCTCATCTCCACACTGGAGGCCGCGCTGGCCGCCATGAAGACCAGTCACTCTCGGCGCATATTACGCAACATCAAATAATCGCCCAGGACACTCTCTGATTAATACGTGTGCCTCCTGTTAAACACCACATTCCTGCCTTTACACCTGGAAAGCATCAAGCAGTGTCTCTGTCTTCTTCAGTGCAGCGTTGACGGTTTCCTGTGATTCGGTCCTGGATGTTAAACCAGGTTTTTGCCCATCTGACTGGGAAATGGTCGTCGCTTTATGACACTGGAGTCACGATATCTGCCAAACGGTATTGACTATGTTGTATATAAGATTTCTACAGTGCTGCTGATATTGAATTAATCCTGTGTTTTCATTCTGCAACTCCACTGTCTTTGTCTCTCGGCCCAGGATTCACTGCATTCACACACTTTTAACACACATTATTCAAACTGGAGAGAGTAGTGCATTCATTGGGAACTGTTCTCAGCAGCGGATTAATCCGCATATCCGCATTTTGTGCTCCAGCGAGCTTTTCAGCAGGATGGTGTATGTGGGTTTGAGTCAAAAGAAACTAGAGCATGAGCGTGTGGATACACACATGATTATATAACTTTGGTTATGTTCAAGAAATTAAATAAAAAGGGGTAACACTACAGCAAGGTGAAAGGAACACTGAGTAGTTATCAAGGAACAAATAAGAAACAAATCAGAAATGACCTGATAATTGATATGTATTGATAAATAGTATGATACTCTTAAATAAACCTAGTGTTGGCTGTCAAGAGGAGTCTGCAGGCACCCGGCAGAGTGCACCCAGTTGGTCTGTAATGAGTTGTAACGAAAGCGTCCAGCTCTAAGAAGAGTCCTGGTTGTTCCGCACTTCTTCCATGTGAGAATGATGGAGGCCACCGTTAGAACCAGATCTGATCCTCAACATAATCCTGTCTCTGAGCTGTGCAGGCACCTTCCTCCTCATGAATTGGTTTATGCTCTGCTGTGCGTTGTCAGCATAGAGTTGACCACAGGTGGACTCCTGTCAAGGTGTAGAAACATCTCAGAGATGATGAGGAGAAATGGGAGGAACCTGAGCTTAATTCAAAGTGTCATAGCAAAGTGTCTGAATACTTCTGTCAATGTGATAGTTCAGTTTTTCCCTTTTAATAAATTTGCAAAATAAATTCTAAAATCTTAAATCCTGGTTCACTTTGTCATTATGGGATATTAAGTGCAGATTGATGATTAAGACAACTGCCAGGTGGTCACTCAAATGTTATTATTACCTTATTTACTTAAGGAATAAAAATGTAATAAATAAAGTGTATATATGTTGTAATAATAAATATCTCGTTCACTGCAATGTGTGTTTTAAAGATGAATGCGCATTAATGTCACAGTAATACTTGTAGCTCCACTGGATTAAAATGGAGGCATAGCTCTTTATTTACCCGTTGCCATGGTGAATCGTAGTATCGGCGCTCCATTGATGATGGCAGTTTGAATTAACCTGAAAGTTGAGTTTCCCATCTCAAAGCACGACCCCCCAGAGTTCAGGTTGAAGTTAAAAGTTTATTAAACCTTTTTTTTTTTTAAATGACAATGTTTATGACAGTCAAAAAGGCATAAACCACATTCAACTGAGCACTCAACAACAACTGAGCAATAAAATAAAAGGGACAAAATAAGAGATCAGTCAGGTAATAAAAGTGCACAGATAATCATACACATGTTGGGCTTTTTTAGTATTACAGCGTATCACATTATTTCATTTAAATAGGCATCAAATATAGGAGTGGTTTTTAAGAAACGGTATTTATGTATAAAATATTTTGCTAAAAGTATTACATTTTCATTCCCAAATTCAATTTTTTGGTTTTCCGTTTGAAGACCAAATTTTATATTTTTATGTAAGAAGTTTATTAAACCTGCTGCAGCCTCCAGGTGACATCGACAACATGTTTCCAAACAACCGGGACGGAAGAGGAAGTGCTCGTCCAGCCTCGAGGCGTCACCTGACCGTCTCAGCTCTACACAGGAAGTGGGTTGGCGAATTCAACATGGCTGTTGTCTGCAAATAGAGGAGGGCTTGTCTTCAGCAATGAAATAGTCTGGGCTTTCTTAAATTATAGGACAATTGACTCAGTTCTGTGTGTTAGCTGGTGTTGACTGTTAGCCGGTCCGCCATGGCCCAATGTGTTCAGTCTGTCCAGGAGTTCGTCCAGGACTCGTTCGTCCCGATGGTGGCCGTCTTATGTAGCGAAGAAGCGGAGAGAATGACCCGCAAGAACAATCTGAATTTCGCCGAGCTGCTGAGGCCTTTCTGCAGGCTAACGTCCGAAGGTAAGGACGGCTGCTCGGTTCCCACCGTGTCCATTGACTGTCAGTCTCAGAGCTGTCACAAACTGAGCTGTAGTGAGCTAACTAGCTAGCATGGTTAGCCTGGGATGTGTCAGTTGACATTAGCTCCGCGCTAGCAGACGGCTAGCAGGCTGGACTGTGACTAAGCAGCAGGAGGAGACACGAAGGGCCGAGTGACACTTGACCATTCAGCACTGAGAGCTGCTCTCAGGCGAAAACTTTCAAGCAGCCGGCTAACATTTAAGTTGATGCTGGATTATCAGACCGAACAACAAATAGCTGAAACAGTAAGGAAGCTAATTGGCTAATGCGCTTTAGTTGCAGTCAACACACGGAGTGTAACGTTACAGACGTTACTGCGCCTCGACTGGAAAGTGGACTAAAGCAGGGACAGTGACATTAAGGTGCATTAAAGACATTTTAAAGACAGTCTGTACCGGTGCAGGCCCCACAATGAACACACCGGTCTTTTCTATTAGTATTGTTGTGAGTTCGTTATGAATACAGTTTAGTCTGGTACATACTGCCTCCAGGACCCCCCCCCCCTTAAAGATGAGGGTTAGGCCTGAAGAGTGATGATTGGTTAGGGTTTGTTTTGGATTAAGGTTAGGGTTGGAGTTAAAATGACGCCTTTTCACAGCAGAGTAAGTGTGCAGGTGGTGACAGGAGTAAACAGTGGCGACCCCGGACCCACCTCCACACATGCAGACTATTGGAGGATTTACAGATGTCCCCTGAATGCATCACATGCAAGACATGAGTACAGGCTACAGCATCAGTCAATCGATCATTCAGACTTTATTTGCATAGCACTTTTAATAAAAACAATGCAACACAAAGTGCTTTACAGAATACAAAAACCCTACACACACGCACACAGAAAAATAAATTACCAAGTAATAAATAAAACCAATCAAAATAAAACAATGATGACAGGAACTGAGGAAATGCTATCATGAATCTCATAAATTTGCACTGAGGAAACACTGAAGTCTGGAAAGCAAAGATAATGAAATGATGGAGTGATAAAGATAAAATAATAATTCTAAAACAGGAGATATATTAAAATGAGTGGGAATGTTTGGAAGTGAGTAAAACCAGAAATAAAAGTATAAATAGAAGAGATGACCAGAAATAAAAGTGAGCAATTAAAAGGGAAACTAATCCTGAAAATAATCATAGAATAAAAAGACAAACCAGTAAAACAGCTTGACATAATAAATTAATAAATAAAATTCAATTAAAAGCCAGACTAAAAAGGTAAAATAGGTAAAATGTCTATAAACAGTAATGTCTATATGGGAGGCTTAAGGTGCTTTTATAGTTGTAATTGCAAAATGTGCCAATATGAGGGGCCATCAGGGGCTCCATTTCCCCTTGGGGTCCACAAGCGTTTGCCTTTCCTGATGGTGCATCTATGGCAGTGAATGCAGTTGCTGCTGAAACCCATGAAGTACGACAAAACAATATAAACCCATTTACTCGACTTGACTCTTGGCTGCTGCTAATAACCAGCTCTCCTCCTCGACACTTCCTGTACTCGTGGAGTAGGAGCTTCAGGGCTCGTCAGATTCGTTCATGTACCAGAGTCAGACAGTTACTGCTTACTTGTTAGTCAGTGGATATTACTACTGTTTTCCTGTATTTATCATCTCCAGGTCAAGTCCTAGTTTCTGCTTTTCTGTCGAGATCCAACAGACATGAAGAGCTGGTAGATTTTTGCTTATTTGCTGTAATAACACACACGTAGCATCAATACAATCACTTCTTGATTTCATAATTTATCAGCTTTATCTAACATTTTGTGAATGAAGCATATTGTTTCACTTTCACTTTACCCTGAGTCAGCTGCTCCCTCCTGCCAGTGTCCCGTCAGTGTCAGTTTTTATTCTGTCATTCAACAATCAGGACGGTGAACTGGATTCGACTGTTCAGGATCAGGATTTCAGCAGTAGTGTGGCCTAGTGCTCAATTTGGGATAAAAAAAATAGATGCCACTTGTTTTCCAAACCAGCTGCCTGCATATTATACAACTGCAGCAAGTGGGGGCAAGCACTCCGTTCAACAATTATTTATTATGGGGTAAAAATCACTATTTTGTTAAACAAATGCTGAGTGTAATTGGAGAATTTTTGAGGCTAATCTAAACCTGTCTGGTCTGACTGAAGCAGGCAACACTGAACCTCTCGCTGCTGCACATTATGTCTTGTTAGAGCAGGAAATGGACATTTTTTAAACTGTGTTGAACTATCATAAATAAAAATGACATAAGGACAAGATTATTAAACAAAAGCCTTTAATAAAGTAATTCATTGAACATACTACAAGCTTTTCTTCTTCTCTTTCTTGTTCCCTTTAATGCACCAATATCAGTTTCAAAGACTAAAAATGATGGCCCGTTAATAAGTTAATAAAATAAACCTCATTAGATTTAATGGAGGAATAATTAATAAAATGGTACATGTTCATAAGAAAGGGAGATTGACTTATAAATGTACCAGCATCTTACCAAGATGTGTGAGATTACAGACATGACCAGAACAAGTGACATAGAAAAACCTTTGAGGGATAAAAACCAGTGGTTGATCCTTTGTGCTGCTGCAGCCTTTAAGTTATTCAATAGCAGCATTCATCTCAGACTCGTGTTGCAAGTTGCTTACTAGCGACCTAGTAAGATTGCCACTGTGACTTTTATGTGAAAGTGACCATGGTGCTCATTCAGACATGAGATTGCTCTCAGATTCAGGTGAGGTGATGTGTGTCTGTAAAGGGGCTACAGAATAAAAAAGCTTGAAGTGAAGTCACATGGAAATAATAGCCACATTTTCAGCCCTGCAATGAATCATATTTCACAGGCTGTGAAAAATATGTTGTATCAAATGTTCTGAGAGCTTTACCAGAAAGAATATTATAAGTAAGTACTGAGTAAGTAGTTATACATGCTGAAAATGAACATGAAAATGCCATTGTATGGATATTTATTCTCTACAGATGCGTAGTGCTGTGAAGCTGTTATGTACGGCTCTTTTAATGATACAATGAATAGAGAAATGTTGTAACCTTAACTAAAGGTTATTCTGATTATATCTCATCTGTTGATGCTTTTTCCTTTTTTTAGTTAAATAACTTAAATCTATAAAATTTCACACTTTCTCACAGCATAATATGACTTCTGAAATATTTAGAGAAAAGCAGCAAATCATCACATTGGACAGCTGGAGATAGACGTTGAGATTTTACTTGACAAATAACTTAAACAATTCACTTTTTAAGTGTTTAAGTTTATTTTTTGACCTTGGACAACAGGATAGTGTCCTGTCCTGACTGTTCTTGTCTCTTCAAGGTCACATCCGGGACCCCAACAACCAGGTGCAGGTCGTGAAAAACCTGCGTATCTGTGTCAACAATGTGGTGACGAGCCCAAACGCGACGTCTGCTGCGCTGAGTCCCGCCCAGCGCCGGCTGCTCAATGAAGTGGTGTTATCCTGTCAGCCACAGGAGGGCGCTGTGACCAGTGTGATCACAGCGGGAGACTACGACCTCAACTTCAGTGGTAAGGGCCGGAGCCGGACTGATCCTGGATTTTTAAGGGTCGATTCTGTATTTAAGGGTTTAGAAAATCAGATCATGTTAATCTTTCTACCAAAACACAAACAAACATTTAGTTATTAAAGATATATAGTTGAAAAACAAACATCAACTACAACACTAAACTTCCCTGGAGTAATTATTGTTATTGTGATTATTATCGTTACTGTTGTTAGTAATTATAATTGTTCAGTAAGCAAGTATTCAGTAGGAGTTAGCTCTACAAACACAAATGTCCATGACTGACTGACTGAGTGATGAAGTTATAACATTGATCAGCTGGCAGAAAGTCCTTTGGCACAAACTGTCTCTATTACATCATCAGGGCGTGCGACTCATTTCCGTCGGCTGCTAAATAATTAATAATAAAAGCAATCCTAAACAAATTCCTTGATGCACACCACACTTCAGAATAACATACATTCACATTTATTGTACGTTTCCTGTTAATAAGAAAACGTTTGATCAGTGCAGCTGCCGATGGTTCGACGCCGAAACAGTTCATCGTATTCAATCACAACTTCTGATCAGTTCTATCAAACACTGCGCTGAAATATCAATTCTTCTTCTCATCAGTTTCTCTCCAGTCACTGAGTTAATGCAGTAATCTGGGTGAACCGTTTAAAAATGGTTCTTACTGTAGAACAGTCCAGCTCAAATTAACAGTAAGACAATGAGTCAGAGAAGGAATCAAATCAAATGCTGTTTTCACCCCGTTTCTTTACATGCTACTAATAATTTCTCTAATATACTAATAATCACTTCTTTTGCTTTACCAACCTCTTAGAAAAAGCCCTTCTGTTTCCTCATGAGATCTGTACATTCACACACATTTTGAATTTTATTGCTGGAAAAATTCACTTCAATAATTTTCAGTTTCTGTTGATCGAGTGAGAAACTGACTGACTGACTGGTTCTGGTCTGGATCTGGACCCAGAGAGACTTCTATCCAGATTGCAAATAATTTCAGATTGAAATAATAATCGGTGACATTTTTCAACAAGCGCAGAGTGGCCAGCCCAGCAGAGCTGTGTGGCTCCTTTAGTCTGTTTATCCTTTAGTTACAACAGTGTTTTAAAGATTAACGCAAATACATCTTTATTCTCTGTACAACAAACGCAGCGAGGCCAGTATGAAGTCCAGTATGACCAGTCCACAGAGTCCCCTCTCCCAGTCCTCCACAGCTCCACAGTCTGGAAATGAGTATTAACTGAGGATACAATGGATTTTTAGAGAAACAAAAATCTGTTTCCAGAACAGGGATGTGTGTAGGAGTGAATGAAAGCAGCTGCTGAAACATTGTTAGACTGTGAACAAAAAGAGAAAGTGCTGGAAAAAAATCAAGCAAATCCCTCTGTCAGCTGCAGCAGCTACGAGACGAGCTGAGCTTTTAGCAGAAGACGTGCAGCTACAGTCAAGAGTGCACCATGAATAAGCTTAGCAGCAGGTGAATCAACCGATATCAGAGATAATACCCAGCTTTCAATGTTTGTGAGATCTCACCGTGCAGAGAGGAAGCAGGTCTATAAGATGTTTCAGACTGGTCTGTAGTGTTGGTCCAGTCTTCATTTTATTCACAGATCAGTCTGATGTTAGTCAGACTGTTCAAAAATACAGACTGACTCATTTTAAGTCGTTACCGTGAGACTCGTTTGCTGGAGTTATAAATACAGACCATCCTCACTCCATCAACCTCGCCGGCTGAGAGAACTCCCAGAGGAGTTGACGACTTCCTGCTGCGACGTAAGACGTCTGAGCAAAGGCAGAATATGTTTCACTCCGTCACCTCCAGACCAGAATTAATTATATAACACAGTTACTCATCTTTTGTTCTTCTGGCTTTGTGTTTCCAGCACATTACATTTGAAATAAAATAGTGGGAAATGTGATCTGCTGTGATCCACAGAGCAGAAAAGCAAAACGTGTGTAAAATAGAACAGAAGTGAAATTTGAACTTTTAATTAACTGACTATTATTTTGTTGAGACTCACTGACACTTTTCCGTCTTTTCTCTGCTTTAAATTCAAACGACACAATCAGCGTTTTTCTCAGCGTTTTACACAACAACCTCTCCTTCTTCTCCTCCCTGATTTTTCTCTTGATCTTTACATCCTCATGTTGAATGAGGAGACCTTGCAGGAAATTGGATGTTACTAACATGACCTTGGCTCTCTGCTTCCACCTGTCAGATCACTCTCTTAAAGCTAGCCTCCCATGGTACAGTGCCTGGAGAGAAACACTGTTGGAAGTCAGCACCTCCCAGCACTGCACAGGTATCAGCTCACCTCGTGGCTCGTGTGTGGATAGTCCTAGTCCTCTCAGCTCCACACCCGCCCCCACTCCTCTCCCTCTAGTTTCCAGTAGCTGCCATGTCTTGTGGGCGTCCCTCCTTTTTTGTTGTAAGGTAGTGGGTGCTTTGTTTTGTATATATAGAGATTGCCGGAAATATGAAATAACAGGTTGTTTGTGACCTGTGGCCAAATGTTAAAATAAAAACAGATTTCCCACACATACTTCAGAGCAGGCGTACACTCGGTTTTCTAAACCGAACATAAGGTGATATATCTTATCTTATAGAATAAAAGCTTTTAAGTTGTTTACCAACTGTATTAGTTTTTCTGTCAACTCAACAATCTAGAAAAGTTCAGTTAGAGGCATATTTACAAGCTTAATCTCAAATAATTGTTTACGAGTGCTGAATTTCATCATTTTTCTGATGTTTAGTAATTATGACGATGCCGGTTTAAAGGTACTCTACATATGATAAATGATTAGAATATAACGAGGCGCTGGTTGTGTGTAATGACAGCTGTTCTGGTGCGGTTGGAGAAACCTCATCGATGCGACTCAGTCATTGAATTTGCACTTTGTTTATCGACAGGTCTAAAGAGAAGTTTTTAGGCTTAAGCTGTTATATATTATTGCGGAGCTCGGCACACGTGCACCGGCCGCATCTCCACAATAATATATAATATACATTTGTGACATTTGTGGCGTAGAGGATGCTGTACCGGCTCACTGTGTCCAACATGAAGCAGGTGCAGTATTGGCATCACATACGTTTAATATTTATGAAGCCATTACTCAATATGAGATATCTGTCTTTTTACTAACAAAACCTCCTCCGTTACTCTTCAAATTATTATCATCAAATATTATTATTAGATAGAGAATAGAGAGGACAGGAAAGGAAGTCTGAAGGATTTGAAAAGGAGTTGCCATGGCACCATCCTGTGTTAGTATCAAGACTGACGCTGTGCCCAGAGAGCAATGCATGCTGGTTAATCCCTCTTCTGATCCTTCTGACACAAGATGAATGGGCTGAAAGCAACACAGAGGCTGCTGTGTAATGTTGATGAAAACGTGACACAGCTACAGTCGCAGCAGTAACAGGCACGTGTCATTCAGATACAGATACAGTAACAGTGATCAGGCAGACAGGACAAAACCATACAGTATTAAACAATGGCTGATTATCTCATTTTGGCTTTGTTTCTAGCAACCACGCCCTGGTTCGAAACCTACAGGGAGAACTTCCTGCAAACGATGCCCGCCTCCGACCACGAGTTCCTCAACCACTACCTCGCCTGTATCCTTCCAACAGAAACACAAACAGCAGAACCTTCAACATCTAATCATAATAATCAGAGAATCCCAAATGTCAAACGCTGCTCAGTCCTGGTTAGTGCACAGAAATATGTGACATCACCTTTTCCCACCTGAGTCCTGCCCTCACTATGGAAAACTGAGAAAATATATAGTTTCGTGTATATATATATATATATATATAGATTTGATAATGTGAAAATACCTGTTGGCCATGCCGTGTGAAAAGTGACAGGCTGGCTTCAAGGTGTTTCACTTCCTCCACCTGTTCACTGCAGGACAGTAGGACAGGACTGGTCTGAATCGTGGTTCGTCTCGTAATGTCTCTGCACATTGAACTCTCTCACAACAGCGACGGTCTCTTGGCAAACGAGACAAACGCAACAGTTTTGTCTTTCAGTATTTAACTTTCCACCGACTTTATGCTTCTCTGCTGTGGCAGAATAATGTGACCGTTACCTCGTGGCAAATGTCCGTTGCATGTTTACAGTCTGTTTATGAAAACATGAGTTCCACCTGCATCGTGGAGACGTCTCCGACCTGCAGGACAGTGCTGCTGTCGTAACGTGAATGGGAAAAGCGCAAAGTAACAAATCTGTTTGTTTAATTAATGTAGACTATGTCGGCCACAAATACAGATGTGGAATTTATTTTAATCAAAATATTTACAGTTGTAATTGTAGTATTTGTCAGAAACATCGATTATCAGTTGGATATTATTTTAAATTTGTTCAATACAGTTTTGCTGTGCGTGGTGTTTGTGCGACACGATGGTCCCACGACAGACAACACTCGTTGCAAGATGTGATGCATTTCCTGTAGATTCTGCACGTAACACTAATAATAACTACCATCAGTAGTAGTCGTCCTCTGCTCCCTCTGACCCTCCTGGCTCAGTGTACCTGCGCTCCTCTGATGGATCCACACGGGTCACAGTTGTGTCCTTGACCTCCTGGCTGGTGCAGGCCTGCTGGTGGTGTCCTCCACTGAGGCGGTGCCCGTGGAGCAGTTCCTCAAGCTTTCCCAGGAGCAGCACAGGATCCAGCACAGCGGAGACTACACCAACCCCAAGTGGTTTATCCCCAACACGCTCAAGTACTACGTCTTACTGCACGACATGAGCGAGGGGGATGAACAGAGGTACTGACAAGACGCTTCACTGGGCACATCTGGAGACATCTGCAGATGCTGAAATATGTCGTGTGTTATGATTTCTGTGTTAAAGAACTATGACGACTCGACTAGTAGTAGTTTCTCTTTAAACACAACTAGTGTTGTGGTGGAGGAAGCTGTCGGTGTTTGATCAACTGTTGGTCTTCCTCTTCCAGGGCAGATGTGGTGTACGAGGACATGAAGCAGAGGTACGGTCCTCAGGGCTGCTATCTGTTGAAGATGAACTCTCGTACCTCCTCAGCTGAAGAAGACGAGCAGATCCCGGACCCCTGGAGTCAGTACCTGCACAGGACTAATCTGCAGAACCAGGTAAGCGCCGTAGCTTCCTCCACATGGTCCAGCATGTTTAGCTGCAGCAACAATAGAGTTAGTTAAAGGCCAATGGAGAGCCAGGACGTCGGTGTGCAGTCTATTACATACATATTTATTTTGATATTTTATTTAATCAGAAATTTCAAGTTCGTCCATTTATAATAATACGCTGCCAAGTAAAAGCAGTTTCCTACGCAGGCTGTGTCAAAAACATTCAGTGGCTTCAGAGTCCAGACAGAAATGTTTTAAAAACCAGTAACTGAAGCCTGTCTTCAGACCCTCATGGGTGAGTCTCCACAAGGTTTGCACAGCTGGATTTGGGCATTTAGTCCTGGGCTGCGGCTCCAGGGTTTGACTCCAGCTGTGTCTTGGCCGTGTGCTTCGGATCATTGTTGTGCTGATGAGTGAACCCAGTGTCAGGTTTCCTGCTCTCCGGATCAGGTTTCCTCCCAGGACCTCTCCGTCATTTTGACTGATTGTGACTCAGTCCATTATTATTATTATTATTATTATTGAGAAATGGTTTTATACCCTGAGCTTTGACACAGTTTTATCATAGACAGAGAGAGAGATTTTATTTTATTTTATCAGTTAAAAAAACATAACGTTACAAGAATCGGAAAATGTTTAATATTACCACTGATTATCCGTCCATCCCTAGTCTGAATACTCTCTGAAGCTGCTGCACTTTACACTTGTTTAAATAAAGTTCCACATACAACGTCTGTGCTTTCGTCTCAGTCACAGTAGTGAGGACAGGGACACATGAATCAGCCGGAGCTTCATTCTGTTGTGTGCACCATCAGAAGATGTGCCTTGTGTTAACATTGTGACGTCTGCTGCAGGATACGCTCGACGATCCGGCTGTGAACAGCGCCGCCGCTGAGAACAGTGTCGGTGCAGCTGAAGTGGATCTCCCTCAGTCAACGGAGAAAGGTCAGTGAGTTCAGCAGGTTCTGTAAACGATCATCGCTGCCTCTAGATGCGACACAAGACCACCAGCGAAACCCACCACAACAAGCAGTTCACCGGCCACAGCCTTGATAACGACAACAATAAATAAAACTGTCCTAACAACGTCTATTCTCTGCACTGAGTCCAAGATTCATTTTCCTCCAAAATACCAACCGCTCTTCTTGTGCTGCTGTGTTTGATTTGACCTGATTGGCTGTCAGGTTGAGAGGCGGACAGATGTCTTATCACTTGTCTACCAGCAGCTCACCCAAACGTCCTGAGAATATAGTCTGTACAAAGTTACACTGTCAGGTTTGTTTACATCAGATCAGCTGTAGGTCGCATGCAGTGACAGAAAAATATGTTGCCATGGATACAGTGAGTTAATATTTTGGAAAATAAAATTTAGTGAATGATCTATGTTTAACTTCCTGTTTGTTGTGAACCATTGATGAACTGACCACTATCACTGATCACTGACTGAGGAGCTTCTTCTTCTCTGGTGTCTGATCAGATCAGTGGAGGTTTGTTTACAGTGGTGTTTTCATGTCTGTGTGTTCGGCTCTCACTGAATCATGACTCTGATTTCTGTCTGATGTGAGTTTCAGATGTTTTTGGTAAATAATGTGAGTGTTGGATGTTGATATTTGATGATTTGTTGAATGATCTTATTCATCTGATTTGGTTTGGAGATCAGTTTGAGTGTTTTGTAGCTCTCAGAGTAAAAAGGTTGGAGACCCCTGATTTAGTGACTATGATCATGGGATGCCTCCACAGGAAACCCCCTAACAACACTGAGTAATGTGTCACGTTTTGAGTCAAATCCTGTGCAGAGCTGTTTGGTTTCTGTGACAAATGAAAGCTCAGATAAATCAGGTGAAGACTAAAGCTCTCTGTGTTGTGTTTCCACCCTGTTTCCTACCAGACGGAGTTTCCAACAGCCTGGAGAGCCATCCTCTCCAGCTGGACGCGGAGAGCGGCTCGGGGAGCCTGCACGCCCTCGGCGCCGTGAACACTGACCTGAAGAAAGGTGCCAGAGATCCAGAGAGTACGGCGGGAGGAGCAGGGAGCCACGGGGCGTGTTTGACCCTGAATGACCATGACCACATCAGACAGTTCATCCAAGAGTTCACCTTCAGGGGCCTCCTGCCTCACATAGAGAAGAACATCCGGCAGCTCAACGACCAGGTGCCACTCAACGTTTAAACTTTTGATTGTCTGCTCTCCAAACTTCAGAGATGTTTTCAATTAAAACTTCTCCTGAAGTCTGTTCAGTTATTACCAGATTGATTCAGATTGAGACTCAGAACAATAACAATAAATCTTTTGGTCCAACTGCAGCTGACTGTAACAGACATGCACTCAAACAGAGAGCAGAACAGTTTCTGTTATGTCGCCTACCCTCGTTAATATGAATGAGGTGGATGAGCTGTCAGTACAACTCAGTGCAGCTCCACAGCAACATAAACCGCAGCCATTAAAATGATCCAGTAGTTGAATCAACACCTCTATAAAAACTGAACATTATAACCTTCACGACGGAGGATTTATCGCAGGCCTGTGTTATTAGGCTGCGTTAGTTTTACCTAAAAAATTGGCAGCTGTGTTTAATTTCAGTAAATATGCAGATTACATTTTTACACTTGAATGTTTTATTTGCTTTTGTGTCTTTGTCTGTTTGTCAGTGTCGTATCTTAAAAAGAAATAAGTGATTTAGCCTTTTGTTGTGGTTTGGGAGCAGCGACGCAGCAAGTTCACGTCGCACTTTAAATAGTTTTACCCCATAAACTGTCGCACATCCTGGCAGCCCTGAGACACACGATCTGCCTCTCTGTCCACAGCTGGTCTCCAGGAAAGGTCTGAGCCGGTCTCTGTTCACCGCCACCAAGAAGTGGTTTGGCGGAGGGAAAGGTCCAGAGAAGAGCATCAGTGAACCAAAGAGCACGTGTGGCCTCCTGTAAGCTCCCCGCCGCTACATCCTCATCACACCTCATATGTATTTACACCATGCATGCCGCAGTGCGTTCAGGACGTAGTCACCTTTTTCACATGTCGTCGTGTTGCTCTGTAAACGCTGCACATTGTTGGTTTGACATTTCTTGTCTCTGATGTCAGATATCCCCCAGAAGCCCCCGAGCTGCAGATCAGGAAGATGGCGGACCTGTGCTTCCTGGTTCAGCACTACGAGCTGGCCTACAGCTGCTACCACACCGCCAAGAAAGACTTCCTGTCAGACCAGGCCATGCTGTACGCTGCAGGAGCACTGGTGAGACGACACCCCCCCCCCCACACCTACACCTTTCTATCCGCCCTTATGATGTCATTCATTTTAAAGCTGAATCATAATCATGACGTTTTATCCTCTCAACCTTTCCTTTGTGATCTGTCCACGTCTTCTGTCCGTCCGTCCCTCCCCGTCCTCTTCTGCAGGAAATGGCTGCAGTGTCGGCCTTTCTGCAGGCTGGAGCTGCCAGACCGTATCCAGCACACTACATGGACACGGCAATACAGACGTACAGAGACGTCTGCAAGTAAGTTTTGTTTTCAGTTTTTTTTGGAAAAGACTCCTACAGCTATAAAACTCTGATGCGCTTTTTGTTCCCAGACAGAAGTTTCAGATGCTTAATGTCTCTATTTTCATGATTTTGACCCTGACCCTCACCTGAGTCCAGTTTTCTCATGAAGTTTTCTCTCTGAAATTCTCACGAAGCTTCACCGTGATTTAAAACGTGCGACAGAATCTGAATGGTTATTGTATCGTGCGTAATCTCCGTCTCTGCAGGAACATGGTGCTGGCCGAGCGATGTGCTTTACTCAGCGCTGAGATTCTCAAGAGTCAGGGAAAATACTCCGAGGCTGCGACGCTGCTCATCAAGATGACCAGCGAGGTGAGGAAACCCACCGCACTTTCATGAAAACAGGAAACACATTCACATCATACTGTGTGAAATGATTCTGCTTCTTCTGATTCTTTTCTTGATTTGACCTTCGTTTGACCTTTCTCGTCCAGGACTCGGACCTGCGCAGTGCTCTGCTGTTGGAACAGGCCGCCCACTGCTTCATTAACATGCGTAACCCCATGGTGCGCAAGTTCGCCTTCCACATGATCCTGGCTGGTCATCGTTTCAGCAAAGCGGGACAGGTGAGATTTTCATCCGTCACTGATCTGTGAGGTCGGACTGTCTGGAGCTCTAAATGAGTTTACACCTGTGAGTCAGGTGATGTGTCTGTCTGTGAAGGGAACACCTAATAATTCTCGTAACCAGGTTTGTTTGTTTTTTTTCTTTGTTTCAGCCAAAGTTCGTCTTTAATCTGTAGCGAACTCTCACCGCACTGGTTTGTTTGTGTGTGCACAGAGAGGCAGATCATGTGTCTGTGTCTGAAACACAGATCAGAATTTGCGTACGTTCAATTCTTCCATCTTAAAGGAGCTATATGTAAGTTTTGCTATTGCTACATAGCTAACGTTAGCATTAACAGCTGTTTACTCACCAGCCTAGAAGAAACGTTGTGAGTTCAACATCAAAGTTCATTCATTTCCTCACCAACATCTGTCTCCAGAGGTGGAAACAAACGCCAATGTTAACTCTCCGTCTTTTCTTCTACTGAAGTTAGCACGCTAACCAGCTAGCTCCGGCTTGACTTGTCACTTTCCGACAGCGACTCACTGTAGCCTCCGATCTGCCCTGAAGACGTGGCGCTGCTCAGAGTGTGTATATACATTATAACCGATGACCGAAGCTCTCGACAAGCGACGATCACCGCCGCCTGCTCCCGGCAAGAAACTCTGCCGCAGAGAAAACTCACAAATATCCTCTTTGATTATTACCCCACTTTCTTCTTTCTTACCATACTCACCTGCACATTAAGGTTCGGCCCGCTGACCCCGCTAAGCTAATAGACTTTATATACGAGTATGACATCATGAAAATACAAACTTCTTTGTTCCAGACTCTGGGAAAGTCAAACAAAAATAAAAAACCTTTGTGAATTAGAAATTCATAATTTTTTTTTTGGCCACTGGGACAAACTGGCTGTAAGGCTGAGGTGTGGAGCCATGGAGGCACCAAACACCTACATTTGGGTGGGTTCAGTGATCCATTATGAATAATAATAACATGTTCCTTGTGCTCCTCTTCCTCTGTGTTTCCTGCTGTTGGTTGCGTTGTGAACTTCACACCCTCTTCTTTCTCCCTCTCTGCTCGTCGCTTCGCGTAGAGGAGACATGCACTGCGCTGCTACTGCCAGGCCATGCAGGTGTACAAGGAGAGGGGCTGGTCTTTGGCGGAAGACCACATCAACTTCACCATCGGCCGTCAGTCCTTCACACTCCGCCAACCAGAGAGCGCCGTCGTAGCCTTCAGACAGATCCTGACCAATGACAGCAGACAGACGGCCACGCAGCAGGGCGCCTTTCTCAGAGAGTATCTCTATGTTTATAAGGTAACTCCAGTTTGTAACCGTGTCATCATTACCTGTCATTACAGGATAGGCGCTCGGTAATCACACACCTGAGTGAATAACAATGGCGTGGAGTTCCCCAAGGCTCCGTTCTCAAACCTTCACATCTACGTGCATCAGCTCAGAATAAGAACACAGTAAAATAATTAGTGTCAAACCAGCTTCAACGCCACATCAGTCCTGCACACGTCTGTCTGGCTCTTATAGAAAAGTAAAAAGGAAACAGGAAGTAGATTTGAGACGTCAGGGAATGTCAGCATTCCTGTTACATGAATCCCAGAATACATCAGATCTTTCACAGTAACATCACTGACATGGGAATCAAACAAACCAGCAGCAGCTCTCGGGTAGACGATGAGGAGACACTCCCACAGGAAGGTCGTCCAGTGAGTGAGTGAGTGTAGAAATAAGAATGACGTGTGTGTGTGTGTGTCTTTCAGAGTGTGATGGGGGGAAATGAAGTCAGCCTCCCCCAGCTGCCTCTGCCCTGCATCCACAGCTCGGCCACGAGGGTTTACTTCGGACACGAGCGCCGCCTGGCAGAAGGTAACACGCCGATGAATCATTTCTGATTCAAGCTCCACTCCATCCCAACACAGGAGGGTGACCGGTCCTCGTCAGGCCTGATCCACCAGATCTGGATTATTATGATATATAATCTGTGCCAAACTCTACAAACTCATAGATGTCAACACCATCCAAACATTATTTCCTGAGGAACTAAATCTATATATATATATCTATATACCCATGTGTGATGAGCGACGTTCCTCACAGTTGAATGTTTCTCGTAGCTTCGTACTTCGCCCCAAAGTTTCACCTTTTTGTTCACATATCTTCAAAAGTATCTCAGACTTTATTATCACTCCGTTAAATCCAGAACCTTTGCTTGTTATTGTCGGTGTGAATTTAAAAAAAATCTAAAATCTGAGAGGGAAGATAAAAGGTCGGGCTCCTTTATCTGAGTTATGTTTCCACTCTTAGATTCAGATTAATCTTTTCTCCTTTATTTATTATTTAGCACTCACACATTTATTTTGTGTAAATATTTAATAATTTCTTTCACTTATTTATTTATTTAGTTTTTTTTTTATGCCTTTTTCTTTTTCAATGGTTTATCTTGAATAACGTTCAAATCCTTATACCTTTTATATCACCTGTTTTAAACCTGTGAATGTACATTATCTGGTTATTAGCTCTGGTACGACAGTTTACTGCATGCTCAACTTTCCTTGGCTCAATAAAACATATTTGATAAATAAAAGTATAAAATTTAACGTGTTGAACTCAAATCCTGTGATATAGTCTGTTTTTCAAAATAACATGTAGTATGTGTTACAGGTGATGTCTGACCGACACATTATATAATATACTTATTTATGAACCGTGATGTGTTACTGTAGAGCAAAGGTTTACTCTACAACGACTAACCACCAGTGTTTGATTCTAATTATCTGATATGTGCAGGGGAGAAACAGGCAGCCACTCATGTGTCTCTGGATCAGGAGTATGACCAGGATTTGGCGACGATGTGGTGCCACCTGGAGGAGCAGCTCGTGGCCGCCGCCAACCGAGGGACTGTCCCAGTGAACTTCCAGCCCACCCAGAGCTGCCTGAACAGCCAGACGGACAACCTGCGCCACCCACTGGCTGTGGTGGAGGGTAAGAGCAAATCAGGAATCACACAGAGCAGCAGTAGAGATCCGAACAGGAAGTGTGGGGGAGAGAGAGGTTATGTGGTCTGCATCTTGACCATTAGACCATTAGATTAGTCAGACGTCCATCCTGTCGCTGCCCAGAATACAGCACCTCTCTCTGTCCCTGCAGAGCCAATCATAGTGGAGGTGACATTCAGGAACCCTCTGAAGGTTTCTCTGGCTCTGTCCAACCTCTCCCTCCTCTGGAGGTTCACCGCCGATGCTGCGTCTCCATCAACGGAGAAGACGACTGAAGAGCTGGAAGGAGAGGCCATCACCAATGAGGAGACCCTGGCTCGAGGGGTGGGCAACCCGAGCACATTTCTTTTTAGATTATTATGATGTTTTTATTATTCAGTTCCAAGGATGGATGCAATAAAAACCCAAAACTAAGATTTCCATGATCTCTTCAACACCTCTTTCCTCTTGCAGATGACTCAGAAAGACGACATTGTCACCACGGAGACCATCCTCGATTTTCACATGGGTCCGGAGGAGACCAAAACGGTAAGACGCTCTCACGACTCTGTGAGGGTCGACTGTGCAGTGCACCTGTTGTGTCACCTGAACATCTGCACGCATCGTAAATCACACACTGCGGCGTCACTGTGCCGACTCTTCAAACGAGTTCAAACGAGCTTAATGATCATCTGTAGTTACATGAAGCAGGTCAGTAATCAGGTTTCACTTCTGCCTTGAACTTATTTTGGAAACATAATTTTATTATTATTAAATCCTTTATTTAAACAGGTCGTCTCGTTGACATCGGGAAATCTTCTTCAAGAGAAACGTGTACAAAAATAGACATTAACAGTTTATAGATAGACACATGAATTCATGGGGATTAAAATGGACACACAGATAATTCACACACACACATTATAGATTTTTATATTTAAAAGCAGCATGTGCAAGTGTTATTGTAGATACATAAGTTCAACCAGTGTTGTGCCAATTCACATTTAAAAAGAACTAGTTCAAAGTTCAGTTCATACAGATGAAAATGAACTTCTGATTTTTTTTTGTTTTTTAGATAAATAGGTCGCTATTGTTTTTCAACAGAAACTCCTTCTACCCATCCTTCACCAGCCCCAAATCATTGCCTCTCCAAAACTAAATGAATTATTATAAACCACTGAAGAATCACAGAGATGCGTCACATTTAAAATCAGTATATAAATATAATCTGTCTTCACTTCGACGTCTGCACATGTTGGCTATGAAACTGCATAAAAAACATTAAAATTGCCAAAATTAAAATTTCAAATCCTTCTGTGGTTCATGAGAGACAAAAATGTAGTCATGATGTCACTGTGACCTTTGATCTCAGGCTCGACTCAGGCTGCTGCCACACAGAACCGGACAGCTGAACATTGTCGGTGTGGTGTACAACCTGGCTGAAGCGTCCTCTGGAGAGACGGCTCCCAGCACTGACGGTAACACAGAGACCAAGTGTCGGCTTTAAACTGAGTGGGTCCACATAGGAACAACTGTGTGGGAGATACAGCCTTTATCACACACAGAGCCCAAAGTTTAAGGGCTCAGAAGTGATTGGACACATTTAATTTTAAATGAATTTTAATTTTATTTTAATTAATTCAATTTTAATTGTATTTTTACTTTAATTTTAATTTTAATTTTAATTTTAATTTTAATTATTTTATTTTATTTAAATTAATTCAATTTTAATTATATTTTTCACTTTTGTTTTTATTTAATTTAATTTTAATTTTAATTATTTCAATTTTTGTTTTGTTATGTTTTAGTTCATTAAATTAAAGTTTTGTTTTGTTTTAGTTCATTAAATTAAAGTTTTGTTTTGTTTTATATTTTATTTATTTATTTATTTTTTATTTTATTGAATGTGCTTGAAGCTCAGAACCTGAATGTGGCTGAATTTACATTTTCTCTTCTTTCGTGTTTGAAAAACCATTCATGACGTAAAGTAAAAAAAAACCCAGTGACAGATGTTTCTGGATGTTTTGTCTCTTGCTGCCGCGCTCACACACACTGTGGATCTTCTTCCCGCCTTCAGGCCAGCAGAGCGGGAATGTGATGGTGGTTCGTGGAAAACAGGACCTGAATATCCGCGGCCCACGACTCAACCAGACCAAAGAGGACAAGATGTTGGTCCGACACGGTCCTGATCGACGCCTGGACCCCATCATAACACCATCCATGCCCCTGATGGAGGTACCACTGACTCACTGACTGTAAAGATATTAACCCCACCCAGAGCTAACAGAGTCTGACCAATCTAAAGACTGAGACTGATCAGTTTTAATTTCAGTTAATATTGAGTATCTACTGATATTTTCCTACAAAATACACCTGTCCGGTTCACACTTTTCCCTCTTTACAATAAGTTAATGCTGCTGAAACTACAACTCCATGTCACAAAAACCAATCACTTCCTGTGCATCAGAGATGGAGCAAAGCCTCTGCCCACAAGGCCCGAAGAAGAAGTGTTACAGACCGCACTGTGCTTCACGACAAAAGACAGAGCAGCAAGGAAGGAAAGCAGGAGGAAATAATGATAATAAGTCGTAATAAACACAAGAACAAATAAAATACAAACTGCACAAGTGCAAGTCTGAACATGTGGGTCTGATGGGAAACGTGTCAGTCACCACATTTTACCTAAAAAGCAGAATTCAGTCATTCACAGCTTGTAACATGTTTTATAACCATTTATATTCTGTGTGTGTGTGTGTGTGTGTGTGTGTGTATGTGTGTGTGTGTGTGTGTGTGTGTGTGTGTGTGTGTGTGTGTGTGTGTGTCAGGTCTTCTTCCTGCAGTTTCCCACTGCTCTGCTGTGTGGTGAGATCAGGAAGGCCTACGTTGAGTTCTGTAACGTCAGCAGCGTTGCGTTGTGCGGCCTGCGCGTGGCGTCAACACACCCTGATTTCTTCACCTTCGGCAGTCAGGCCACAACGCCCGTCACGCCGCTGAGCCCGAACTCCGCTGAGAGCTGCTCGGCCTATAAAACTTTGGCCACCACCCCCCAGCTGGGCTCGGTGGCGACCGAGATGCTGGTCTCAGCTGAGGATTTCAGTCAGCTGTCCAGCGTGATGGAGATCCCCATAGAGGGCAACACACTGCAGCCGGGGGAGTCCACCCAGCTGCCTCTCTGGCTCAGAGGACCGGACCAGGAGGGAGTCCATGAGATCAACTTCCTGTTCTACTACGAGAGCGCAGAGAAAGGAATCAAAATCAGGTGAGAATATAAGTGGAATTAACTTTAAGGCATCCGCAGTAAGATTTGAAGACACAAACCACTTCATGAGCTGCTTGTTGCACAAAGGAAAAGCTCATAGCATTTATAGATACGATCAATGTGGAGCAGAACATCTGTATATGATATAACATCTGTTACGGTATAACCAAAATTAACTAGTCAAAGAAGAGAGAGAGAACATGCAAAGAATCTGAGATCAAATGAGAGAGAGAGAGAGACATCAAGTTTATCTCTAATCCTCACTCGATGACACCAGGGGGCGTAATCACACCTCTTCAGTTTCTGTGATTGTTCTTGTTTAGATTGTTTAAATCACGGCACATGTTTTCAGACAGTCTCTCCCGGGAGACATTTATACTGTCGCACTTGTTTTTTTCACATGAAAAGTGTAGAAAGAAAACTCCAGAGAGAAACTGACTCTATCAGTAATAATGGACCAGCGTCTGTTTGCTTTTGAGAAGTATTAAAGCAGACTCTTATTGTGAAAGTACCGTTACAATATTATAGTTTCTTATGTTATAGTTTAGTTCCAGTGGCTCTCTCCTCCATGTTTCCTGTTTCTACTATAAAATAAAAGCAAAAGCTGAAAATGACCTTTGCAAAACATTTTAGCAGGAAAAAAAAAAGCTGTCTGCAAACGTATCTAATCAGATTATGACTAATGTCTGGATTTAAAAATATTTTTGTCTTTTTATCATCATAGATTTGATGCAGAAGTTCTATTACAAAGTAATTAGTGATAAAATGTTGGCGAGGTCTGTTTATCATGTGTAGACGACCCAGCTCCATCATCTCTCACTGTCTCTCTCTTCATGTGAAGTCATCGGGTGTTACGCCACACGGTGTTCATCTGTGCCAGTCGCTCTCTGAGTGTGCAGGCGTCGGCCTCCCGCAGCAGCGTCCCTCCACATCACAGCCTGGACGACAAAGGCAGCGGCGGGACGCTGGTCTTTATCGACGTGGAGAACATCAACACGGTGAGATACGCAGGACGCCACACACTTTTCTTTGTCATCGTTTGGACTTTGTTTGAACTCGCCTCCTCTCGCCTCGCAGAGTGAGTCCGGCGTGCGTGAATTCCACATTGTCCAGGTGTCCAGCAGCAGCCAACACTGGCGCCTCCACAAGTGCATCAACCCATCCAGGGATAAAGGTGAGTCACTATGTCCTTTTTATTCTTTTATACATTCATATGTAAGTGCACGAGTGGTGAACACAGCTGCAGTCTCCATTTTAACAAAAGCTTATCACTGTATCTGGACCGCAGATAAAAACAAAACACAGCCAGGTGACACACGAGCTGCAGTCGGTGCTGAATTTAAATTTATTATTATACGACTCTTGTTTTCCACCTTCCTCTCGTGTCGTATCGTGAACATCAGGAGCGAGGAAGATTTTCCCAGTGTCCCGTCCGTCTCTGACTCATTTCTAAAACACAGAGCCCAAAACAAAAAGCTCTAAACTAACGTGGAAATGATCTACACTTAACTGAACTACAGTTGTGGCTGTGGCTTATAGTTCAGACAGGTGGGGTCTGGGAGTGGCCACCGCTCTGTCCTTTAGTAACCTCCACAGAAACCCTGCAAAACAACCATAGTAAGTTTCATAAGACATGTACGGTTAAGTGAATTTAAATGAGGTCTCTGAACTTTCACACCACATCTCATAGTCTTCATCAATGAGTGGAACAAACCCAAGTGTCATGTTGGAGTTGTTGGACGTTCTCTGTATCGATCGCTGCTTCTCTCTGTCTCCAGACTGTAAACTCACCAGCAGAGAAAGAGCCAAGCTGTGCTTCAGGGCCACACGATGCAAACCCCACCAAGGTAATTCACACAGAGACAAAACACAACCCCCACCAGTCTGCTGTAGATTCGCCAGGTTCAACAAGCACTGATTTGACTGTCCTGTCTGTTTGTAGCTACCTCGGGCGCCGTGCAGAAATACACGTTTGCAGACCTGAATCTGGGAAATGAACGGGTAAATTTAACACGTTGATATTAGAGAAAGGATAAGTTGAAATGCTGTTGTCAGTTTAATTTGTTCTCATAGTTCCTTTGGTGCTCAGAGCTACAGTAAACTCATTACTGTCTCTGTAGATGAACACATGATGCTGTGAAAAGCATTTAAAACGGCAATAACTGATTTTTAGCTCTGACTCTGCTTCTTCTTCCTGTGTGTTTTCCTGCTCTCTGCCCTCCCCTCGTCTCTTCTTCTACTGTCTCGCTGCAGATCATCAGTTCCTCCACACCCTGCGGAGATTTCTTCTTCCGCTGCTGCCGGACCGCGGAGTCTCAGCGAGTGGATGTGGCGTCGTCCAGGACGTCGTCCAGCAGCAAGAGTCAAGGCGGCGTCCTCTCGGAGAACAGAGCCTCCGACATCACCAACATCGTCAAGAAGTGTAACGAGCTGGACCTCAACATCATCGTCATCTGGAAGGTGCGTGAACACGGCCAGATGACGACCGACCCCGTGACACTTTTTCAGGCTCATTGAAGCCAGAAATAATTTTTATTTAATTTTTTATTTAAAATTTTTACTCTGTCATTCTCGTTATACTCGGGTCATCAGCCATCAGAGGTGGTGATTCACAGATGTAACTAGTCCTGTGTAAACGGCTCCTGTGTTTGACTGTTTGTCACATGATCTACATTTGAATATTTTGTTCACACACTTCGCTGAAGCTCTGAATGGACAGTGAGTGCTGCAGGTGACAGTGTGTGATCTGTGGGTCTGTACAGGCTTACGTGGTGGAGGACAACAAACAGCTGATCCTGGAGGGCCAGCTCCACGTGGCGCTGCAGACCATCGGCAAAGAGGCCACTTCTCTGACTCCCAAAGAGGTCAGGAGTCACACGCACACACACACACACACGTGCGCACACATACACACACACACACACACACTGCAACTCGGTGAACCTGCTTACCTGTCCAACGTTCAGCATCACATGTATTTCCTCTAAAAAAAGAATAAATAAATAAAAAGCTGAAAGCTGACGTGGGATCAACACTGGACACAGCACCAAGATAAAACCATGAAATGACTTCAGAAATAAGTCAGAGGTCAGAGGTCACCATCCTTACGGTCTGTGCAATATACAAATATGTGATGAAGCAGCAGGTACAAACGCTGGACGGTGGAGAAAACAAAGAAAGCTCAGTAACTAATGAGAGACGAGGCTGAGCAGTACAGAGAAATGTGGGCTCACTATTTGGCAAGCGACAGGTCACTGTTGCCGTTTTTATCTAATGTGTTATAACAGCTTATAATTGTTAACTGATTTGTTAACAAGCTAATTAATAAACTAGTTATAAACTATTCATAAATCCGTTATAAGGGTCGTCTCTTTTATTATTTTTATCCTATATTTAGTTACACAGGAGTGACTGCTGTTACTGTGACAGTCCTGAGGGTGGCAGCAGAGGAACATTTTATTTCTATTGTAAGGAATCCATTCACAAAAACAAAACAGTGTAGATATTGATGTTATAGAGTGTGTTATTGACAGTGTCAGGAGTGGAGACACACGTTCGTTTCACTGCGTTTCAGGCGAGTGAGACAAAATTTGACCATTTATGTTTTCGATATTCTGCCGGTACAGTGAAATCCTCACATACAGAGGCAGCTTCAGACTCTAAAGCTGATGTGCTGCTTCATCTCTCAGTAGGGACTCAAAGCTGATTGGACGAGGTTCAGAGCGAGTGTTGAGCGCTGTAACTTGGAGTGTGTTTGTGTGTGTTTTTGTTCCAGGAAGCTCAGGAGATGGTTCTGCTCAAGTTTAAATCAGAGCTGCCTCTTCCTGTCGTCGTGCCGTCTGCAGAGCTGTCCCAGCTCATCAAGACCAACCTGCACTACCCCGAGACCTACACACACACGTTTGTCCAGGATAGGTGAGACACACACACACACACACACACACACACACACACACACACACACACACACACACACACACAGTCAGTACTAGTCAAAAGTACATCAGAACCCGCCCATACGTTTATTTTGACTCTTTCCTAAATCGTCACAACAATGAAATAACACGTGTTGAATCATGTAGTGTTTGAAAAAATATTTTTAATGTATTTCATATATTAGCAGCCTCCATTTACCTTGATGACAGCTTCATGAGGTCATAATAGTGTTGGTGAACAGTTGCCCTCAGCATCGTTAATGACTCTAACTCAGCAAAGATGATGTGGCTGTGGTTAAAGAATTTAACATAAGACGACACTAAGAAGCGAAACATGATCAATACATTTGATGAGGTTTGTTCGTCGACTTGGACCCAGTTCTTAACTTTGGCCGCTCTGGTTGAGTTTGACACGCCTGTCTCAGAGGAGGCGGACAGTGACACTGACGCTGACCTCACCTCTCCAATGTGGCATCTGAAAACCACCTTGAGGAAATTTGTTTAGATTTGGCACAAACATTCACCTGGACTCAAAGATGAACTGATTACAGTTTGGTGGACAAAGGTCAAAGGTCACAGTGATCTCACGTTCTGCTTTCTCTCCGTTTCTAGTCTCTGTCTGGTTCCAGTCACTCTGACTTTGTCCAACTGCTCGTTGGCTCACGTGGACGTCATCATTGACTTGCGGCACAAAAGCACAAGGTGAGTTTCTTGGTAGATCATGTGTTTTACTGTATGTGTCATGTGATGTCCCTCCTGAGACATGACAGGAGTTAGTGAATATGGAGAGGAGGAATTTAGTGTCACACCTCTGTGACCTGCAGGGACTTGCATGCATGGGTGGAATTCCCATAATGCAACTGGATCTCACATTTTCATTTGACCCCAGCTGCTGTAAACACCCACGTCTTTAAACTCCACCTTCAGTTTATTTTTATAAATGTGTAAACAAAATGTACCCCCTAAAAAGAGGTGATTCTGTTTATTTCTTTTCTTTGCTTTTAATTAAAGTTAATATATTTCAGAGACTGAATTCAAATGTGATGCTGTAAAGTTCCAGTTAAGGAAGAGTCTTTGTGAATCCAGTGAAGTGTTCACAGTGAAGGCGTGTTGCTGTTTGACAGAGGATGTGAGGACTTGTTTTTGACAGACAGTTGAATACAATTTTATTTTACAATAGCTCAGTTTATTGAACGAGGTAAGGTCCCACTGCGACAGGCAGCTGCATCAGCAACCGTTATACGATACAATCACAATTAAATAGTGGCTTCATATTAAATAGACTGTGTTCTCCTTCCATCTAATGCCCTTTCCAGCCCAGAGTCTCTGGAGGTCCACAACTCGTTCACCTGGGTGGGTCAGAGCCAGTACAAGCTGCAGCTGAAGCCCGAGGAGGTGCTGTGTCTGACCCTGCGAGCCTGTTTCCTCCAGGCAGGAGTCTACAACCTGAACACGCCGCGGGTCTTTGCCAAACCGGCCAAGCAGGGGACCATGTGTGAGACGAGTCAGCAGACGGCGAGTCCCGCTCTCATCATCATCAACAATGCCTGAGAGGAGCGCCGCGGCCTGTAGAGAGGAGGGTCAGGACGCCGTGGACACACAAACCAATGACCAGAGTCCACCAGCGACTCTGTGCACGACCACGCTCGGTCTTCTTGAATAAAACTGGACAGAGGTTTTGTAATAATTAGTATAATAGAAAAAAAATGTTTATTTAAAACAAACAGCTACAGTTTCCAGAGACTGATGAGCTGACGTTACAGGTGAAGTGGTCAGACAGTTCATGGACCTCAGAAATATCAAGTTTCATCCGCCAAGCATCAAAGAGTCTCACTCGCACGTTAGCCGTCGTCTCACAGGTTTACCCTCCTACCATCCAGCCTCCATACCTCTGCTGCCTCCACCCGCCCCGCTCCACCCACCTGTCACCAGCATCTCAAACACAGGATGTTGACTCTGATCTAAAACCCTGAAGCAAAGTCAGAGACAAACTGCTGCACCTGTTGTGTGCAGGGTGTGTGTGTGTGTGTGTGTGTGTGTGTGTGTGTGTCCACGTCGAGTGCTCATTTCACCGACGCCATCATTCTTTAGGTCTGTATCTGCAAATACTCTGAACTCTAGAGAAATCAGACGTCAAACTCCCAAATGGACTGAGCAGTGGTGTTGACATGTCTCTTACTGTGACATCCTAACAAGCTGTTTACATCCTGAACATCGTTCATCTCACCACCCAGCCCCGACGCCTGCAGCGTCTCCACCCAGCGGTCTCTGTGTGACCGTCACTCTGTCAGGACAACACACCACCGTGTCCTCACGTGCACGCTGTTGATTTTCTAAATTCCAGCCAATCCAATCACCCCTCCCTCCCTCCCTCCCTCCCTCCCTCCCTTCCCCTCCCCCCAGTCTGTTTAACCTCACTGTATTGTGATTGAGCTCTTGTATGCATCGACTTGACAGCTTTTCTGAAAATTATGTATTATATTTATATAACAAAGTGGATGTAAATAGAAAATAAAAATGTAACTAATGATACTGTATGTATTGTGAGAGACTGATCTCTGGAGAGGGAAAAATAAATGGTCATTTATAGATACAGAGTAATGTGACAGTTTCAGATCTTATATAAAAACCCTGTTCTGTCAGGTAGTAGCTCGCAGCATTACAGGTCTAGAAGTCATTAAAAGTTCATTTTTTTAACTAAGCAAACTAAAGTTTTGGTAAGTCAGTAAAGTCATCATCTACTTTGTTCATGACAAAAGATCTCCACAAGTCTGGTTTAACTTTGGGAGCAATTTCCCCTGAAGGTTCCACGTTCATCTGTACAGACATTATAAAGTAAATATAAACTTACTTGAGACTCATGAACAGGTTGTCCTGTCCCGTTCCCGCGCTCTCTTACTCGTTTTCCCTCATGGCTTCAAATAATAATTTAAACGGCCATTTCCCCAGTGCAGTTCTAATAGAGCTCCGTTGATTTGCCGGTCCAGTGAGAGAGAGTGACAGGAAATGACATCAAGTTGAAGTTATAAATATAAATAATATAATAAACTTCCGGGGGCAGGAGCCGCATAAGCTGCCCCCCCCCCCTAAGCGAGACCTTTTTTTCTTTGATATACATGTATGTAGGTATGCATATAAACGCATTGGTATGTTTAAGTAAATTATTTATCAACATTTAGTAAACCATTATTATTCATAAACTCTGATGGCTCAGTTCATGGGTGAGAGATTGGGAGGGAGGGAGGGAGGAAAGTTGTTTCAAGGAAGACTTAAAAAATATATACAAACCGCTTCAAAATCAAAAAAAAAAAGAAAAGAAAGGGAAACAACAAGAAACAACTGTACTTCTTACTGAGTAAATGAAACGTATTGTTTCCACAGAGGAATACTGTTTATCACTGGCGCGTTTCTGTATTTCTTTTTTTTTTATTTGGAAGTTTGAAGTTTGTTTTTTATTTTTCTTTATTTAAATTGGAAATTTTCACAAACAATCACACATATCAGTTCTTACAGATAAACAGAGAAAAAAATCAATAAAAAAACCCATAAAAATACATAAATTAACAAAGGACAAATATAAAATTTGAGTAACAGACTAATTCAGACATTTCAGAATATATATTAACTGTTGACATGGATTTCTTGTTTGTTATCAGTTTAAATAACGTTCAGTATCAATTATAAACTATTTAAATGACTGAACTGAGAAGAAATTTCGCCTTATGAATATGAAATTTCCCCAGTAAAATAATAATAAAAAAAAAAGGTTGCGTTTCTTTATTTCTGTGGGTCGTGGAGGGGCGGCATGATGTTTGACATTCTCGCGCTGCATGCCGGGATACATGGCGCTCTTGTTTACAAGATGGTAGAGCAGCAAATCTCGCTCTGACTTGCAACAAACCAAAGTCGCATGACTCCCTAACGTTGCCTCACAGGAGCCTTATTTACGTGTCGACGACAAACTGAAGCAGTTTCAGACGGAGCTACGGAGGCTCGCTGGACTGAATTATTTCTCAAACAGCCGCTGTCTCACTAACGGAAGAGATTTTTTTTTTATTTATTTATTTTTTTTGCACAGTCACTGACAGAGACGGGACTATCCTTCAAATCACAGGTCGGTACACGAGGCTGTTGGAGCCGTGACACTGATTTTTAAACGTTTTCTCGCACCGTGTTCATTTCGTGAGCGTGTCCGATGATAAATTAGCAAGAGGCGGTGAAAGTGTCGAAGCGACGTGAGCAGCTCGAATCATTAAAATACCAGCTCAGTTTGACAGCTCGTGGTCAGCTGACGGATTTCTGCAATATCATGTTGATGGTGAAATGTGGCTGATAAATGTGATTTTAACCAGGGTTATTATACTAATAAGTAACGGCTCTTTTACATCCTTTACGTTGTGTTTTTTTTAATGGTAGTCTGTGATTTGTTCGTTTATTTTATTTGTTTGTGTTTATTGTTTGTTCTGCATTTTTTTTAGTTTCTTACTATGTTTTAGAATTACAGTTTATTACTAGATATAAATTTTCAGTTCTTTACTGTATATTTGTAAATTTACAACATAATACTGGTCACAGTTTTGTTAGTAAATTGGTCATTTGGTTGTTGATGTTTGCAGACAGATGTTTTTACCTTCATTTCTTGGGATAATTGATTATGTGGTTATTAAATCTGTCAAATAATTTCCCTCTGCAATGAAGGAGGTAAGAGCTTATTAAAATCACACACTGGAGCCCAGCTGATTTTACCGGTTATTGTAATTGTTACCAGCATGTGTCACTCAGTTAGTAAGAGAAATTTGTCCACACTGACTTTTTCAACTGTAAAGTGTCAGACTCAATATGAAACCAGCGCTCTTAAAAACAAATTTAATGGGTTTTTTTTTGTTGTGTTTATGTAAAATATATATATATATATATATAGTTATAAATTGATAATAATATTTTATAACAGAATTTTTTTGTGATCAATACAGTAGTTCATCAGTAGTGTCACTCTGAAAATTACTTTTGTTTGCGGAGAACCTAAAGATCAGTTAACGAATTTACTCTTTTATTATAGTAAACATCACTGTTAAACTTTCAGAGGACCGTCCTTTGGGCCTGCAGGAGGACACCTGAATCCAGCCGAATGTAAGACACTCTGTTAGGACTTGCACTCAAGTAGTTATTCTAGTAGCTAAACTAATTTACATGCAATTAGTTAAACTAATATTTCATTTAGGGGTGGCACCCTTTGATGTTCTTTATCCGTAGTTCCTGTCCATGTGTCATTATGTTTTAGCCTTTTGAAATAAAATATAAATATGTGCTTGTTCAGTATTCAGCTCCGTAGGGTTGCAAAACGTATTAGACATATTTATTATTACCTGCAAAGCAAATATCTGTTTATGCTTTTTGCTAAACATTGATGACACCAAATCATCAATCTGATTTCCTGTTTGAATGTCTTACACAGGAACAGAGCGACTGCAAAGCATCTAATTGAGCGCTACTTTCAGCAGTTAACTGAAGGCTGTGGAAATGGCAACTGCACGAATGAGTTTTGCGCATCGTGTTGTGATTTTCGACCTTTGGATAACAATTCAGCAGCTGCCAAAGCGCTTGAGCTGTTTAAGATTAATGCCAAACTCTGTCCTCACCCCTCCAAGAGAGAATCCTATCCAGACTCCAGTGCTGAGGAAAACACGCAACTGGACAATAAGATGAGTGATATGGACCTTAGTCCCAACAAGGAGGACATCTCAGGTACTGCAGAACTGACTGATTCTTATGGACTCTGACTTTGATTTAGCTCTCTCTCTCTCTCTCTTTATTCACTGTTCAATGCACTGTTTTGTTGCAGATGTTCATTACCTCACAGAGAACACTGTGTGTATGATCCTGAGTTCCTGCGAGGAGGAAGGGGACTACTCCGCTCTCATCCGCATCATCGGCAAGGTTTTCTCCAATTCAGAAGCCCTGGTGAAGAGTTTTAGGAAGGATGAACCGAACCGTACAAAAAACCTGGACTCTTTCACACCAACAGATGATAAGCAGAGTGAGCAACCCTCGGAGAAGATGGGTGCCTCCTCTGCAGCTTCGTTACCGGATGAGTCTCCCACTGAAATGTTAGACCCCTGTGAGGTTACTGTGGACATCAACGCCGTGAGGAGAGTCTACGACAAACTTCTATCCATCGAGCAGGTGGAGGCAGCTCTTGTGAACGCACTCGTTTACCTCACCCCAAATATGGAACTTGACCTGGACTACCTCGATGTGTACGAAACAAACCCCGATTACCTGAACATTTTCATCATCGTGATGGAGAACAGTAACCTTCACAGTCCAGAGTACCTTGAAGTGGCGATGCCACAGTTCTGCAAGGCAATGAGCAAACTGCCCGTGACTGCACTCGCAAGACTGTCAAAGCTCTGGTCATCGTACGGTCTCCGACACATCCGCCGTATAATGGAGACCTTCCAACAGCTCATCACTTTCACAGTCATCAGCAACGACTATGACGGTGAAAATCTGGTGAATGACGACGAGACTGTGGTGGCTGCAACCCAGTGTTTAAAGGTCGTCTTCTATGCAAGTATCCTTGGCGGTGAAGTGGATGTCGAGCACAATGAGGAGGATGAGGATGACTCCGAGTCCGATGAGCTCACCCTGCATGAGCTGCTAGGTGAGGAGCGGCTCTATAAGAAGGGACCTCGGGTCGATCCTCTGGAGAAAGAACTGGGAGTTCGGCCTGTAGACTGCATAAAACCCCTCATCCCCTTTGAGGATTTTATTAACGAGTCAGTGAACGACGTAGTGGAGATGGACAAAGATTTCACCTTCTTCAAGGTCAATGCCGAGACTAAGTTTTCTTTTCAGAGCTGCCCCTTCATCCTCAACGTCATCACCAAGAACCAAGGACTTTACTATGACAACAGGATCAGGATGTACAGCGAGCGTCGCCTCACCGCCCTTTACAGCATGGTTCAGGGCCAGCAGCCCAACCCCTATCTCAAGCTCAAAGTTCGGAGAGATCACATCATTGATGACGCCCTCGTCAGGGTGAGTCGCAGCACACTACGTTACGTTATCATCGCATTGAGTCGAAGTGACTTAGTCCCTCTGTGTTTTTCCGTTCATTTAATCCCCTCTGTTGCAGCTGGAGATGATCTCCATGGAGAATCCATCCGACCTGAAGAAGCAGCTGTTTGTTGAGTTTGAGGGGGAGCAAGGCGTAGACGAAGGAGGAGTTTCAAAGGAGTTTTTTCAGTTGGTCCTGGAGGAAATTTTCAATCTCGACATAGGTGAGACAATTTTAGTGTTTACATTTGCTTGTATCCCTGTTTTATATCATATTCAAGTAATAGTTTAACATTCAGGAAACCTAGCTTTGAGAGGGTTTATACCTCTCGGTCTGTTAGATATGAAGCTACAGAACTGGAGACAGTTAGCTTAGCTTAGCACAAAGACCAGAACTGGCGGAAACAGCTAGTCTGGTTCTGCCCGAAGGTAACAAAATCCACCTACCATCACCTCTAATCACACTATTAACGCACGCATTAATAGTGTGATTAATAGTGTGATAGTGTGATCGCTGGTTAACACACGATATCTCCATCGTTACATCTGTACAAAAACCAAAGAACGACAATTCCTGGTTTTACGAGGGGATGTTTGTTGCACTGTTTCTTGGCCGGGAGGTTGCCTGGGAAGAAACAAGATATAACATGTTAATTACTGAGCTTCAGACATGCTGGTAGGTGGATTTTGTCACTGTCGGTCAGAGCCAGCCTGTTTCCCCATTTCCAGTCTTTATGCGAAATGTCTTTCTTGATTGATTTTTAGGGCACAGATCTGAGAGTCGCATCAATCTACTCACAAACTGAATAAGTGTATTTCTAACTGTTTCGTTTTTCTCTTACTCTTTGATTTTCTGAACAGGAATGTTCACGTATGACGACGACACAAAACTTTTCTGGTTTAATTCGTCCTCACTTGAGACCGAAGCTCAGTACACCCTCATTGGAATCGTCCTGGGGCTCGCCATCTACAACAACTGCATCCTGGACGTCCATTTCCCCATGGTTGTCTACAGGAAACTGTTGGGCAAGAGAGGGACCTACTTGGACCTGTCAGACTCACATCCAGTATAGTAACTTTCTCCGAAATTAATATACAGTGAAAGACTATACATCAGTCCTGTAGTTCCAAAATGTTGTGCATGTTCTAGATTTTACTGGTAAAATAATGATAACCATGCTGCAGTTTTTCGAGGAAGAAAATCACAATCATAACTCCAGATATTCTGTTGCTGTGTGTTCACTGTGGCTCTTCTTTCTCCCATTGCAGGCTCTCTACCAAAGTCTGAAGAGATTGCTTGAATATACTGGCAACGTGGAGGAAGACATGACGCTCACCTTTCAGATCTCACACACAGACCTGTTCGGGAACCCAATATTATATGACCTGAAGGAACAGGGAGACCAGATCCCTGTTACCAAGGAGAACAGACAGGTGAAATCTATTGGTGTTTAAAGCGAGTCTATGGACTTTTTGTTGACAGTGGCTGCACAATTACAAGATAATGATTTAAAAGCTAAAATTTAGTGTAAGGTCAGGAACACACTGGATGCTCTGCGTGTGTGTGGCGGCTGCAGATTGTCTCTCTTTGCATTTCAGCCCCCATGTTAACGGGTTAGAGCGTGTGTGATGCGTTGCATGATCTAGAGATTCGGCGTCTCGCCTATTTTTCACACATGACGTGCAGTTCCCAGTAAAAATATGTCATATTGACATCATACCAGCAACATTACATAGAATTGACTATCAGATTTAACTATCAAATTAATTTATGACAAGAAATCCAACATTCGAGTAGCCTGCAAACTCTAACTCTAAGAAGAAAGATAGAGGTGGCAGTAGCAGCGACGCAGCAGACATGTACACACAAAGTTACAGTTTTCCTGACCACATTTTATAAAAAGCAAAGAAGCAATAACTGACGCATTTTCCTCCTTTGATTGAATTGATTTCACAGCTCGATATATATACATATATATATATATATGTATATATATATAGCTCAAAATCATATAATACAACTGTCATTTCATCTTCTTTCCTCACAAAATAGACTGACTCACTGTTATAAAGTAAACGATGATGCTTCTCTGTATATTTAAAGGTATTTTTGTAATTCACATCTATAATTCACAGGAGTTTGTGGACCTGTATGCTGAGTACATACTGAACAAGAGCATGGAGCGACAGTTCAGAGCCTTTAAAAAAGGTTTCCTAATGGTCACAAATGAGTCCCCACTGAAATACTTGTTTAGACCAGAGGAAGTAGAGCTGCTTATCTGTGGAAGCAGGGTGAGGAAGCCAACACTAATTTTGATTTTGGTTGCTTTATTGTAGCCAGTGTTTTCGTGACTTACAGAGAGATCTCTTGTGATTTCACAGAAACTTGATTTTGAAGCACTTGAAAAGACAACAGAGTACGATGGAGGTTACAGCAAAGATAGTCAAGTTATCAAGTAAGTCCTAAATCATAATTCAGATTGACACAGATTTTATAGGTCAAGATCAGTGCTGTATAAAGTTTCTCTTCTGTTTTCTGCCCACAGAGATTTCTGGGAAACAATTCACTCATTTGGAGAGGAGCAGAAGAGGTTGTTTCTTCAGTTTACCACCGGTACAGACAGAGCACCAGTGGGCGGGCTCGGGAAATTAAAAATGATCATCGCCAAGAACGGCTCAGACACAGACAGGTACCAAACTTTATTTTTATTTATTTATTTATTTATTCCATTGGCTCTAAAAAGACAAAAGAAGAGTGTGTCAGTCGGAAGAGTAAAGATTCAGAGCATTTCGTTTCTGCTCGAACCTTCTTGTGAAGCTCATCTCAGTCCAGATTTACACTGTGCGATCGTTCGGCTGTTTCTGAGATGCAAGTCGACAATCATGAGAGAAACGTGTTAAAATCTTTGCACATCGATCCAAAGGTCGCACTTTTGAGATGACGGGTTTCTCACAATGTAACTGCTGCTGCGACTTGTGACGAAAAACCGGCCAAGTAGTATGTGACAGGAAAGACACTGGCTGGTGCTACGTTTCGTAAGCATAGCATTTTGAAATACAGTTACAAACCAAAATGAAAAGGACGTTTGTGGTGCTCAGGAGAAAAACAAATGAGAGGCAAACTGTAAAGCATTTTGGATAAAAGCAGACATCTACCATTAAGTGCAGGGTTTTTACTTTCATCCTTTCTTTTCAGGCTACCAACCTCTCACACCTGCTTTAATGCTCTGCTGCTCCCAGAATACTCCTCCAAAGAAAAACTGAAAGAGAGACTCCTCAAGGCCATCACTTACGCCAAAGGATTCGGGATGCTGTGACAGATCCACAAGGGAAAGTTTTTCTGACCACATTTTAACAAATTAAAAAAAAAATTAAAAAAAGGGAGTATGATAAACACGCAGAGGGAAACGCCATGAAACAAAATGCTGCAGTAACCCGGTGCCTAACCAACCTCTACCAGTCAGACTCAACTGTCAGCCTTTCACTCTGAGGCCTCACTTCCTCTGAGAATCACCTTCATATACATTAGATTTCCCCAAAGAGTTTTAACACGGCACTTCGATTAGTTAATTTTTTATTTTCACGTGTGTTTTGTTTCCGAGCGAACATTAAAAAATGAATTAGTGAAAACTGTGAAAGTGTACTTACACACAGGATTTTAGTGAATGCCAGCACATGCATTATATTTGTTGATTTAGATTGACTTGTTTTTGCCGTTAGTAGCAGTAATCAGTCCTCAGGCCATCTTTCCACCACTGAGTGGACTGGGCATAATGGTGCTTCTCGGTCATGATTGTCATTGTGATTATAATGAGGTGAAGCCTACTACTAACCCACACAGCCTCACTCACGAGCTTATATTTAAACTTCCCTGTTGGTGCGAAGACGAACTCACCTCTAACCTAAAGGTTATTTTAAAGTATTTCTGTGTTTTGTGCCTCTTGTGTTACATTTTAAATGAATACTGTGTGTTGTGAAACGGTGAACCCCAGCAGACGGCGTGGTTTCGATAGCTTGCAGGGTTTTTTCAGAATGTGTTCACCGATTGGTCGGTTCAGATTTTCACATCCTGAAAAAAGTTTTTTTTTTGTTTTTTTTTCTTCTTCTTCTTCTCTTTGTTTGCTGTAAAGTGTTGCTGATTGCACATGAGTAAGTGCAGTCCCCATATGTGCAATGCCTGTATGAGGAAAAAGAGTCACATGAAATGTTTTATTTGGCCAAATATCTCAGGTACATAAAGAATGTGCAGATAATGTGAAACTCTTCTGTAAAGCAACAATTATGCAAGGTGAATAAAGGTGAAAAAAATCCATAAACTTTGTCTAAAATATACAATAAAGGAATTTCTATTAACATCATATGATTACAGATAACTCAAAGCTGTTGTAGTCGATATTTTTTTTTTACAGTAGAAATACATCACATGACGATGCGTAATGTGGAAGTGGTCGATCTTATTGACGAACCCACAGAGAATTATCCCTGGACTCTGCAGTTCTACTCCACTCTACAGAGCTTTCAAGTCGTTGTTGTTATTTTCTGCCTCACAAATTAATTGTTTGGATTCTTTAACACCCACTGGAACACTTCCTGCCAAAGAGCAGACCGACAAGATCAGAGACTAGCTGGGTGAACACGGTGGAGCACTTGTAGCAGCTAAAAAAGCAGATGGTTCCCTCGGGAGGAGAATATTGGACTTGTACTCGTCGCTAACGATGCTTCATATCGGCTGAATGTGTAAACAGGCAACTGCTCACTAACGAGTTCGCCATCGATGGAATAAAGTCAGTGTTGGACAAAACAAATAAATAAATCATTGATTGCAGGTTCTTAGGCCTTGAAAATGTATTTGTCAACCACATTCTTACTTTGACAAAAAAAAAGTCTTGATTTAAAAACACAAAACTTTCTGCCAAAGTTAGAACACTTTTGTTTTTAGATGTTTTTTTGTTTATTGTTATTTGTACTTGTGCGATAAAGTACAATAATTCCAAGTTGTCAATCAAATCATATCAGATCAAACCACAACCACACAGTCCTAATGAAGCCAATTAACTTAACTTTTAACTTTTCAAAATTCAGTCGTCTATATTTAATGTTATACAAGAAATACTTGCTGGGGAAACAAAATGTCTTGATTCTCTCACCGCTGCAGAAGTTTCCTTTTTCCTTCAATATAACAACATAAACACCTACTGTAAGGCATATATGTTACATTCATATTTTAATGTTTATTCACATTTAACATTGCAGACTTACAACCGATAATGTATGTTGACAATAACTTATAAACATAACTGGCATTTGGGTTTATTTTGTACATTCATATACAGTCAATCAAATGGATATTTCCATTGCAGTATTGCAATAAGAGTTTGATTCATAAAAGAAGAAATTCCTTATTATACGCAGACACGAGTGATCAACATACTCAAGTAGTTTCATGACAACACGAAATTAGCTGTCGAGGATAGCATGCACACAAATATATATATTTGCTGCATACACTGTACACAATTTGACACAAGGAAGATAATAAACAGGATGTATAAATAGATATAAACATGGGCCTTTAAAAAGTGTCACTGTACTGTTCTAAATGAAAAATCCCTTCATTTACAGTCAAGTCCTCGGGTGTCTCTCACGTTACTGGACTTTTTTGTCTTTGTCAGCCATCACTTCAGACAAGTCCTCTGGTCGTACGGATTTCACTTTGGACTCCATGTCGGTGATCCTCTGCTTCATCCTCGTCTGGCTGGAGGTGAACTGTGCCATCAGCTGGGCAAACTTGGTCTGTGTTACTTCCAGGTTGGCCTGCAGTTTGGTGATCTTTTCCTCCAGGTCTTTGGGGTCGGCGCCGGCGTTGGCGATCGCCTCGTCAATCAGGTTGTCTTTCATCAGAATGGCTTTCCCCTTCTCCTCCAGCGCCTTCTTGGCGTCCGGATACTCAGTGAGCGCTTCCATCAAGTCGTCTTTGGATAGGGCAAAGAGATCGGAATAACCTACACTTCTAATGTTGGCCGTTCTCCTGTTGCCTGCCTTACTGCCCTTGATTCCCAAGATACTAATTTCCCCAAAGTACGCGCCGTCACTGAGCACCACAAACTGAGTGACGCCATCATCTGCCACCACCGCCAGCTTCCCTTCCTTGATGATGTACATCTCCCTGCCAATATCCCCCTTCTTACAGATGTAATCTCCGGGGCTGAACACCTGTGGCTGCAGCTTAAGCACCAATTCAATCAGGAGACCGGCTTCACAATCCTGGAAAATACGCACTTTTTTCAGCGTATCCAAATGGACGTTGATGGCAATCTCAGCCTTGAGCTTGTCGGGGAGGTTCTTCAACACTTCCTTCTCATCACAGGTCTTTTTCTCCGTCCAGAGGTAGTCGAACCACTTGATGACCCTGGCCTCCAGGTCTTTGGTGACCTTTCGAAACTGCATGTACTGCTTTATAGAGTCAATCTTTGCCTGGAACTCTGCACGAGAGGCGTTCATGTTGGAGATCATGGCACCAACGTTACCGACGATACTAGCAAAGATCAGGACACCGGTGAGGAAGTCGGCAATGACGAAGAGGTATTCAACATCCTTGACTGGCGGAGGGGTCTCTCCGATGGTGGTGAGGGTCAGTGTGGACCAGTACAGGGAGTAGATGTACTTTCTGGCCAAGCGGCCGTGCTCTGGGTGGCTGATATTGGGATACACCCAAGTGTCGGTTCCAAAACCAATGGTTTTGGAAATGGCAAAGAATACACAAGCATTCCAGTGGATAATAATGAGGATATAAAGTACGAGATTGCTGATTCGGAACATGTTCGGGAAGCTGGTTCTGGTTTCAGTCCGCTCAAAGAACTCAAAAAGCCTCGAAATTTTGCAAAGACGGTTGAATCTAAACTCCGGGTTGTTGAATCCGAATTTCAGAAACAGCAGATCGGTGGGTATCATTGAAATGACATCGTACTTGAACTGAGGTGTTGTTCTGTAATTATCTCTCAGTTTCTTGGAATCTTTCACCAGCAGGCCTTGCTCCAAGTAACCTGAGGGACAAACGTAAAAAAAAAAAATAGGAGCCAAATTTACAAACTACACAGACACTGATTTTGTGCATATGATTTCTGTCTTATTTTTTTAAGAATCCAACCTGTTCTTGATCTGACGAACGTGTCACCGAAGTAGACCATGTCCGAGGCGTAGTCCAGGAATATCCAGAGGTTTGTATACGAGTCCTGGAGTTCATTAAAACAGGCTCTGGAAGACGAGGATAAAGCTTTTTCAACTTTTGTGAACATCCCACTGAGTGAAGAATACATTTTAAAGCATGTTAAATGGACAATACCTTGTTACGATCATGATCAGGTTATAAAATACTGGGCCTGCGATGACGGTCAGCCATTTGTAGTATTGGTCTGCAGCTGGATCCATAATCCAGATTTCTTTCCTAGGAAAACAATTTAAAATTTATTGATGTCACAAGACTTAATTATTTTGACACAAATATGAAACAACAGACGTGTTTTCTGTAATTAATTTATTTCAGTCTCAAGAGACTTACACTACCTACTGGTCTACTTACGGGGGCTCCTCTTTCTTTTTCTCATCCTTCTTATCATCTTTCTTCTCGTCTTTCTTCTCATCCTTCTTCTCGTCCTTCTTCTCGTCCTTCTTTTCCTCTTCCTTCTTGTCCCCGTCTTTTTTCTCGTCTTTTTTCTCCTCCTCCTTTTTCTCATCTTTTTTAATCTCGTCTTTTTTGTCCTCTTTTTTGCTATGGGGTCACAAGTTTAGTTTTTATGTGAGAAAGGACAGCGTCTACCAGACTACACGGAGGGGAGTCTACTGGAGGGTCCACAGTTTTTGGGTTCAAGACATTGTTGGAAGATCTGGTGCAGGTCATACATCATCTGTCCAGCAGATGGCATCATAACACAGGCAAGTTTCCGTGGCCTTGTTCGGTTTACAACTTAAAATCAGTATAACCCACATCATAACTTCACTCAAGCAAGCAAAGGGACAGGGTTTTATTCTGTCTACTGCAGGAGGAAAAGTCAAAAAGGAATGTAGAATTGGAAGACGTGGTTTCAAGGATTTCTCTATGCTATTAGCTATGCTGTTTCCTGCGAGATATAGAGATATAGTTTACACACTTACTCGTCTGTGTTGTTGCAGTTATTCATGTTGTAAGCAGCTAGCGGCCACTTACTGGCAAGACTTTGGGAAGAGATAAAGGACACAAGTTTTTGCACAGTGAACCCTAAAGTGTCAGACATTAAAGCTCTTGAAGACGCGATGAGATGAAAAATACAATCCTGTGTCCGTGTGTTGAATATTCATCCGTCTTTTGTAACATGATAAATGTAGAGACGAAAAATGAGCATTTTTTTTCATTTCTTCCTCTTTTCTCATCCTGTGACAATATTTTCTGATGACTCATCTCTGGGACGATTACATTGACCGCACTTCACCGTTAGCTCGTGGTTAGCTAGCAGAGCGACATCACAGTAGGTGTGAGGTTGATTTTTTAGCTAAAAAAAAACTCACATTTTCCAAAGAATGCAGTTGACGTCTTATTTATTAATTTCACCCTCAGCCTCCTTCTCGTGATCCGGGTGGGTGAGGGATGTTTGTGTGGAGGCCAAATGGAAATACAGGGTCCACTTGGTCTCAGACCTTTGGACCCTTCTGTATTTTACATTACTGAAGCTAAAGATGCTGATGATCTTTTTCCATTTCCATTCTGCCCAGTTTTACTTGTCAAAGCTTTGAAGGGATTGATTGTTACTCATGTATTTGCTGATTAATTATCCCGTTTTGTGCCCAGTACTTACTTTCTCTTGCAGAGCGTGTCGTTGTGACCCACAGACTGGGCATTGCTCTCTCGACTGTGCATGTCTTTGAGCTCGGGGCCTCTGAAGCGCTCCAGGAAAGAGTCGTGCCTCTGTGTCTCGGGCTTCATTCTGTGAGACGCCCAGTTTCGCAGCATGAAGAAGAAGTAAGAGAGCCTAGAGGGTCAGCGGGAGGTAAGAGGGTACAAGGTGACTAGGCTAGGAATTAACTATGTCATCCCATCTCCCAGAATATGTAAACACCGGCGGTGGACAAAGTATTCAGACCCTACACTTCACTAAAAGTACCAGTACAGAAGATGCAGTATATTATCATGTGTTACATTATTAAATTGTTAATACTATTGCATCAATGTGTAAGCAGAATTTTACTGTTGTAGCTGCTCATGGTGGAGACAGTTTAAAGTACTTTATATACAGGTTGATGGTCCACTGGGTTCCCAACGTAAGGCTCGATCTCGTCCAAAGGGTCAACTTAAACGCCAAACTTAAAAGACTCTAGAAGCTTTTCGTAAGGGGTTACAAG